AAAGTGAAGTGAAACTATAGGACTTGCTGAATTTTGGTAATTGCTTCCTCCAAAGAGAAGAAATTAGTTTCTAAAAGTTTTGAAATTGTATTATGAAATTCATTAGGGGTTTGGAGTTGTGGTCGGTTTCTGCATGTTTTAAATCCAGATGGTTATTCTAAACTTTGTACCCAGCACTTGTTTTAACCAGGTAAGACACACAAACCAGAGAAATAATTCTTAGGAAGGAAGATGTTTATACTCACAGATTCCCCAAAACAGGAGACACAGCCCACCTTGGCGCAAGGCCACCTGGGCAAGGACCAAGGTTAGTCAAGAGGCAGAGGAGGGAGGGGAGAATATAACCAAGGCCTTTACTGGGGTTTTCATGGGAAGGAATGGGCAAGGGAGGGGAGGGATACCCTGAGTAAGCTTAGGATTGGATAGCTTGAATAATATTGTCAGGCTTGGCTAGAGGGGAGGTGTCTGGTCGTCAAGTCCTTGTTCCTGGGTGCTCTAGAGCAGGAAGACTACTGGCTTGGAGTGTGTGAGTTTGATAAAGGAAATGGTTGGGTGCAGGTTCTGGATTGGTTGGTTTGTATGTTAAAGCTGAACTTGAAAGAAACTTGGCTTCTATCTCCAGGAATTACTTAGCCTTGGAAAGGCAGTATCTCCAGGATTAAGGCCCCAAACGCCTGACACCAAGAATAAAGACAAGAACATTTTGTCACTACGATGGTCCTAGTGACTTCCTCGGGGAAAAGATGAAAATGGCAGCATTTCTTCCCACCTTCATAATACTTCCTGCCTTTTATGTCACTACCTATACATGTGCTGAATTCTCCTTTGTTTATTGTCAAGGTTATAGCTTTTATATTCCATTCTACAGCCATGGTTTTTACAGTTGTTCAGCCTTGGACTTACATGTAAAAGGATGTCATGTTCACCACTGGTACTTTTACCATGGCTCACCATCCCCAAATTGATTTGATTTTTTCCTTGGTTAACTGGAATTTCATGATCATAGTTTTCTCAGGAGGGATGAGAGATGCTATATTCCCTGAGTTCTAACATGTTTGTAAATGTTGTTCAGGTCTTGAACAATAACTTACACAATTGTAAAATCCTTCCCCTTAGAGCTCTGTAGATTTGCTCCACTGACTTCAGTAGAGAAATCTAAGGCTAGCTGCCTGTACTCCTTAGCAATCACCTCCCCGTAATTGGTATCTTACTTTTCTGTGACGGTTGCTGGAGAAGCATTTCTTTATCTACCTATCTTCTTATGCGGAATGCCCCTTACCTACAAATTCAGGAGGAATGGGGGAGGGAGATGAGACTAGATATACTTTTTTAAAATTGAAATACATTTTTTTAATAGGAGGTCAACTTACAACTTCAGCTTTCCCCTCATTTCAGGAAATTTTTTCTTCTGTTATATCTTTAAATACGTTCTTTGTTTCACTGGTGTGCCTCACTATTCCAGAGAGAACATAATCTATACAGTGGTCAACAGTGTCTCAACTCCAGGTTCATATTCCATCTCTATATACGTCATTCTTTTGTTAGATTTTTTTTAATTGTAGATGGACACAATGCTTTATTCTATTTATTTGTTTTTATGTGGTGCTGAGGATCAAACCCAGTGCCTCACAAGTACTAGGCAAGTGCTCTACCACTGAGCTCCAGCCCCAGCCCCATGCTTCATTCTTTCTTTTCTTCCTTGCATTCCTTATGATCATTCAATCTCTCTCACCTTCCTTACTAATTCTATTTGAAGCTCTATATGTTATATTTCATATTATTATATTTAATTTTCCAAACTTTGGTTACTTCTGTATTTTCCAGTTCTGTTATTTTGATCTTCAATTTCTTTCCTTATGTAGAAACCCTCTTTTATCTCTGTATGATCTTCTCATCTCATCCTTCCTTTCTTATTTTAGTTTTTTTTTTTTCAGGTTCTAATTTCTCCTAGAGTCAACAAATTTCTGGCATATATTTTGCACAGAAATGCATTTTTGCATTTTGATTTTTTTTTGCAGCTATGTTTCCATCCTGACATCTGTCTCCTACATGTTTCCCTTTTTTCTTCCTTTTTACCTTCCTTCCTTCTGTCCTTCCTCTTTTAACTTTAGTATTTTTGTATAGCTGCCATACATTGGTTTTCATTTTCTTTCTTTCTGATCTGGACATTTCTACTTGGGTTTTCTTTTGCCCACATACATTGTGTGGGTTATTTTTCATTGACTTCTTTGTACCTTGTCTGAGATCTCATTACCCTTCCTTCAGCCCTTTAGTTGAAGACTGGGTATTTTGTGTCTGTCTGCTTGTTACTGGTAGAGAAAAGGGGAAGTTCAGACAGAGCTGTGAATAGTAGTGTTTGCAGGACTGGTTTTTGCTCTTTTCTATAGCCCCCAAACTTGGGTTTATTAAAGCAGATTGGGGGGTGTATCTGTTTCCTTGATGGGGAATTGTGAGCTTTGGATTGCTTCTCCAACTCAGGGGACTTTTAGAGACAACCTGTCCAGGGGTTTATCTTTAGACTAAGCCCATCCTCCCAGGAGCCACTCATTCCTCTGCCAGGCAAAGGAAGAAATAAACATCAAAATCCAAGACATTTGGTCACTATGCCAGTTTCAGAAGTGGGGTGGGGGTGGGGATGGCTTCAATTGGGGATTTCCATGTTTCCCCCGCCAATCACTCCATCCGAGGAGCTTGTCTTATTTTTAATCTTCCTTTCTGGTAAATCCCTCTATATTGTTCAAGATAAGCAACTCAGATAGAATTCTGTGTAATCACTCTGCTTTTCCTCTCCCCTCTGAGCTAGTAAGAAATGCTAAATGGCAACACAGTTGTTCCTCTCTTTTTCCTTCCTTAAAGCATTGGTGTGGTGGGATGGAGACCCTCTAACCTGGAAAACCTGTGAGTGTCCTCCTCAGGCAGCCACTCACCCCTCCATCCACTTCCCTGCTGTTCTGTGTCATTGCACTGCATCAGAATTTCTCCTCTCACATCTTTTCAGAACTCATTCTTTGGGGGAGGACGAAAAAAAAGAGTTGTCAAGGGTGGGAGCTCAGTGTGTATTATAGTAATTTCTGTCTTTCTCTAAACATTATTTTTAAAGAGTGTTGCCATTTCCTGTATTTGAACATTGCTGGTGTATTTTTGGTTGATTTTTAAATTTTTTGTTGCTAATTTGGTCCCATTCAGGAGGAGAGTGGTTGATTCTGAGATCCACCAATTCTGGGATCACTCTTAAGGGAGTTATTTTAACAAGAGTTAGAATCACTAAGTAGTTCCTTTTGTCTTCTTTCTTCTTTCCTCCCTCCCTCCCTCCCTGCCTCCCTCCCTTCCATCCTTCCTTCCTTCCCCCTTAACCTAAGGGACTTTTCTAGGCAAAAGCCCCTGGTACAGTTCCACTCAATTATTAGGCTTCACATTGTTCGGTCTATCATACACAGTTCTCAGCAGCCCACAGCATAATTGGTTCTCTGCTGAGTGTGGTGGAGCAATGGCAGAGGTAGCACAAGGTTGGCCATCTGTCACCTGGAAATATCAGAGAGAAATAATTGCCTATCCACCGAAGAGTTGACAGGTAGCTAAGAGTATATCTAGTCAATGTTAAACCAAAAAAACAAACAAACTAAAAACCATTGTTGACGATCTCTGACAGATGGCCCTGCAGTCTGTGCTTGGATACCTTGAAAATCAGGGAACCCATGAACATCATTCTGTTATTAGAAAGCTAAAAGTATTTAAAAATTCTTAACCTTGAGCCCAACTCTATCCTCTTTTCTCTGCATGGCTCCTTTGGTGAGGTTTCTATTCACATGGCTCCTAATCTTAGGGCTATTTGGATTGTTGCTATAACTAGTCCTGATCTCCAGCCTGGCCTACAGTCCTGGAAAATGACCAAGCAGGTTGGAAATCTGCTAGGTCAAAGCCCATGATAGGGATAAATGTAAATTCCTGAATGCAAATGGAAAACAATCATTGTATGGGATTAGGATACCTAATTAAAAAATTAAATTAAATTAAAAAGAAATTGGAGGCTTTGACTTAACCCTAGTAAACTATGAACCCATAGCAAGGCATAGAAAGTCTACATTGTATGAATAACGAATGTCAATGTCAAAGTCACTTTCTAATGTCCTCCTATGCTGAGCTTGTTAGAGCACACCTAGGCCTCCAAAACAACAAACCAGGATGCAGGCATAAACCTTGGATCATGGTCGGCCACACGGAGAAGCTAGAAGGGCTGGAGGCTGCAGAAGGGAGGCTCTGAAGAGATGCAAGAGGTGTCTTCAAATAAGAGAAAGATTTATGAGATCACAGCACAGATCCAGCCTGGTTTCAGGATATAACAAAAGGCTGTTCCTTGGCTCTGTTGCTAGTAGGCATCTATATTTTAGAGATATGTAAAGGGGCCTTGAGGTCCTGGACCTTAACTTTGTCTTAGACATTCCCTGTTTCTTTTCTTATCTATGAAGCTATGAAACCAAATGCTGATTTCTAGGTGGGAACTAGAAAATAGAACTTTTGAATATACATAAGGAAAAATAACTGGATATGAGACCTCCTGAGAAATTGCCAGGTAGAGAGTTTTTTCCCCACTCACTTATTATAGCCAAACAGGCAACCAGTTTTCAGTTGCCAAAAAACAACATCTGTTCCCAGACATAAGATCATGCTTGATACGGTGGGGAACTATGGGAAGAAAGAATTTGAAACAGGCAGACCTAGGTCTGAAGTCTGGCTATGCCATTTACTCTGCCTGTAATCTTGAGCAAGTTACTTAACCTTGTTGAGCCTTGGCTAAGCTACCTGTAAAACAGGAGGATGATGTTCTAGCTCATTGGTTCATTGTGATAAATAAGATGATAATTATGAAAACTCTTATCATCTAACTAGGTGTTTATAAGTGTTAAAATTCTTCCTCCCCACCCCACCCCCGAAAGTAGCTGCCAATAGTTTTACTGTGATTTCAAAAAGACATTTCAAAAGAAAGCACTTTCATTTTTCAGGGATCCCTTCTGAATTCTCCCCAACTATTGAGGAAGAAGAGTCAAAGAGTGGTTTGGATGTCATGCCAAATATTTCTGATGTGCTGCTGCGCAAACTGCGAGTCCACAAGTCCCTCCCTGGAAGGTAAAATCAAAACTTGGATTGCAGAAGAGCTGTATTGGGTGGTGCCTGTGTTAGATTCTAGGTGGGACACAGAGAACTAATCTTGGTTCTTAATCCCAGAAGGGCTAAAGTCCAGTGGTCCAGGAAGGGGTAATGAATTCAAAACAAAAAAAATAAGAAAGGGCCAAACTAGGAGTTTCCATCTGAAAGAGTATGCGGGATTCACAGGTGGGCATAGCCCTTTGGACATAGGGCCACCAGAAACTCATTGTAGCAGATGATGCAGGCTTTGGGACGGGAGAGATGGGTTTCAATCCAGATAGTCCACTTACCTATAACTGAGAGAGTTTAGGTCTGAGATTTGCATAAATGGAGCAACCACATGAAGAATGATTGCTTAAAAAACCCACTAGACTTCTTCCACTCCTTGAGGTCTTTGCTTTCTGAGCTGTGGTTTCCTTCCTTTCACAACAGAGGTCATAAGTACTCTGTCATTGGTGGAGTGTGATGCTGGCTAAATGAGATCATGTGTGATCAGGGAGTTATGACGTAACAGGCCCTTGAGAGCTGAGCTAAAAAGTGAACAGTTTGGGTATTTGAGAAAATACTATGCTATAAAGACCACGAAATAGGGCACAAATAGACAATGACATAGGAGAGAAATATTGAGTGGGGGTCAAGGAAGTTCTCTGTGATGATCTAATAAATCTGAGATACACAAATGACAAAACAAGATATCCAGGCAAATATTTTGGTGAAAAATTTTTCAAACCAAAAACATTAGTAATTTCAACAAATGGTGGTGGGACAGATAGTCACATGCAAAAGATTGAACTTACAGGCTGGGGTTGTAGCTCAGTGATAGAGTGCTTGCCTCCCATGCATGAGGCCCTGGGTTCAATCCCCAGCACCACATTAAAAATAAAAACAAATAAAAGTAAAGATAGTGTGTCCATCTACAACCAAAAACAATATTTAAAAAAAAAGAGTGAACTTATAACCCTACCTCACACAGTACACACAAAAAAATTTAACTCAAAATGGACCATAGAACTAAGTTTAAGATATGACACTATAAAGTTCTTAGAAGAAAACAGGAATAAATCTTCATGACGTTGAGTTAGTGCATGTTTTTTTAGATGTGATGCCAAAAATATAAGACAAAAGGTAAAGGGGCTGGAGATGTGCTCACAGCACTTGCCTAGCATGTGTGAGGCCCTGGATTCAATCCCCAGCACCACCAAAAAAATTAAAAGAAAAAAGAAAGAAAGAAAAAGGGTTAAACAAACAAATGAATAGTACTTCATCCAAATAAAAAACTTCTGTGCTAACAAACAATGCCATCAAGAAAGTGAAAGGCAACCCACAGAATGAGAGAAAATATTTACAAATTCTTAATCTGATAATGAACTTGTTTCTCTATCAAGAGTTCTTATAATGCAACAAAAGGACAAATTATTGTCCTTTTTCCTCAAATAACCAAAGATTTAAATAGACATGTCTTCAAAGAAGATATACAAGGAGTCACATGAAAAGACATTCTGTCCCTTCAGAGGTGTGTGGCTCTGCTTCCTAGCTGCCAACGCCAGTTTATAAGGCCTAGTTCTGCTTCAGGAACTGGCTGGGCATGGGGCTTCTTGGCTTAAATCACACACCTCCCTGAGTCCTGCTGCGCCCACCTGTGAGTACCACATACCATAAAACAAACCAATAAAAAAACACAGTTGGGTGTGTTCAAGAGCAAAAAAGCAGTCAACAAAGTAGTTGTTTCTGAGTCAACAAAGTAGGAGGATAAAGGAATAAAGTTAGATTAATTATTTATGAAAATAGGCAGAATTGCACATAATACATAAAGCCAGGAGTCAGAGGCACTCTCAGTAAGCTTTGAGAAATCATGTAGAGAGTGTGTGATGCTCTATAAGAATATGTGGTAAGAGTGAGTCGGCCCTCAGAGGAAAGGGCCTGCCGGGTGGGACTGTGACCAGGGCTGTAACATAGCACATCTTTGCAGCTGTTTATCTCCTGTCCTGCTCTCGGCTGACTTGGTGGCCGTGGGGTCTTGTTGCCTCATCCTAACAGGAAGGCTCTCACAGTCCCTCCTGGAGGGTGAGAACCAGCCCCTTGCAGAGATGGCTGACCCCTACCTTTGATCTCAGGTCCCTCTGCACCCATCAAAGGGAGGAAGCTGTGTTTCCTGTGAAGCTTATTGATGGCAAGCTCTCTTGCCAAGTTCTGTGACACTGGTCGGACCCCTCCCGGCCTCCCCACCCAGCACAGGAAAGGGCCTGTGCATTATTTACATTATCTGGGTTTCAGAATACGTCCAGCTTTAGTTACTAGCAGGAACAGAGGTGGCAGCCACACAGCATGGGCATGCAGATAAAGGAACTGCTTTCTGGGGACAGGCTGTGGGACCTGCACATGACAAGCAACTTCTTGGAAGGGCCCCTTTGTACCAACTGGGACTCCTTTGACATTCTGATTCCTGCCATCAGAGGGTCTTGTCATGGAGAAGAGCTCAAGATACTCTTTCCTATCTTTAACTCTTTGGCCACATGGAATTTTGTCACAGCGCTCAAGAATGAAAAGGTCAGACTTTGCAGACCTAGGTCATCCAAGGAAAACTGTAACAGCAACTTGAATGTGTACATAGTTTGTAAATTACAAATGCATATGCACTTATTAATTCCTCATAGCAAGCCTGTGAATGAATAGTGACAGTAGCTAACATTTCCTGGGTACTACTGAATGTGGATGTCCTGTAGCAGCTGGCCCTCGGGATTCATGAAGAATTGGTTTCAGGACCCACCCCCTTCTGCATGGATACCAAAAATCTGCAAATGCTCAAGTCCCTTGTTTAAAATAACGTAGTATTGCATATATTATAGACATCCTCCCGTGGATTTTAAATAATCTCTAAGTGACTTATAATATCTAGTGCAAGGGCAATGCTATGTAAATAAGAATTTTACTGTATTATTTAAAGACTATGACCAAAATAGTCTGCACGTCTTCAGTACAGACACAATTTTCTTGAATATTTTCGATCTGCAGCTGACTAAATCCAGGAATGTAGAACCCACAGATATGGAGGGCTGCCTGTATTTATGGGCACATACCCCTTCATACTATATACATTCGCATATTTTTTATTAGACTTCTGCAAGGTAGATAATATTATTTCCATTTTACAGAGGAGCAAGCTAGCACTTACAGAGATTAAATAACTTATCCAAGGTCATAGAGGTAGAAGTGACATTGCTGGAGGACTGACCCCAGGATCTAATGTTTTCTTCAATGCTACCTCTGCAAGGATCAGAGTCTCATAAAAGACAGAGAACACAAATGGGACTCTGCCGTATTCCCATCTCACCAACTCAGCTTACTCTATTTCTGAAAACACTTGTCGGCTGGTCGTTCAAAGTCACCTTGTAGTTTATTTACTGGGCTGGATAAAGTTCATATGTGTGTTCTCTCTTTTTCACAGCACCCCTCCACTCACTGAAAAGGAAGTTGAGGTAAGTGATCCAGGTGCTTTATGCAATTGAGTGCCTGCGATTAACTCAGCTTATTCAAAACATCTCTTCCTCCAGCCCCGATCCTTATATTTTTACACAAAAAACAAGAACAAATGACCATGAATAACATGGATATTCATACCCAACTGCTGAACCAACAAGATTCCCACTCTTGCTCCTGTTAATGGAGGATTTGGTCAGAGGTGAGAAGGTAGTTGGAAATTCCATGTTCCTTTGAGGAGTGTATGTTTTTGAAGTGTACATTTTTGATGCACGAGTTCAGCTGGAAGGCTGCAGAAGTATATCAAATATTTTTTGCAGGAGTAAAAGATGATAAGAATTCTTTTTTTGTCTTTTAAAAATAGCTTTTATTATTTTAGAGCAGTTTTGGTTTATAGCAAAATCAAACAGAAAGTACAGAGATTTCCCAAATACCCTCTAACACTATATATCCACAGTCTTTTTTTATTTAATTGATCTTATTTTTTTAAATGCACAACAGTGGAATGCATTACAATTTTTATTACACATATAGAGCACAATTTTTTATATCTTTGTATATAAAGTATATTAACGCCAATTCATGTCTTCATACATATACTTTGGATAGTAATGTCCATCACATTCACCATCCTTGCTAATCCCGTGCTTCCTCCCTTTCCCTGTCACCCCTCTTCCCTATCTAGAATTCATCTATTCCTCCAATGTTCCCTCTCCCTACTCCTCTATGAGTCAGCCTCCTTATATCAAAGAAAACATTCAGGCATTTGTTTTTTGGTATTGGCTAACTTCACTTAGCATTATCTTCTCCAGCGCCATCCATTTACCTGCAAATGCCATGATTTTATTCTCTTTTATTGCTGAGTAAAATCCATTGTGTATATATGCCACATTTTTTTTTATCCATTCATCCACTGAAGGGCATCTAGGTTGGCTCCACAATTTAGTCATTGTGAATTGTGCTGCTATAAACATTGATGTGGCTGTGTCCCTGTAGTATGCTGTTTTTAAGTCCTTTGGGTGTAGTCCGAGGAGAGTTCCCAGTTTTCCAAGGAATCTCCATACTGCTTTCCATATTGGCTGCACCAATTTGCAGTCCCACCAGCAGTATATGAGTGTACCTTTTCCCCCCACAACCTCGCCAACACTTGTTGATTGTCTTTATAATAGCTGCCATTCTGACTGGAGTGAGATGATATCTTAGAGTAGTTTTCATTTCTCTTATTTCTAGAGATGATGAGCTTTTTTTCAAGATAAGATTTCAAGTTTCAAACTTTAGTTTCTAGGGAAAAGGTGCTAGCCTTCTGAGGGCTTTAGCTGCAATAAAGCCAGCTCATCTGCCAGTGGCACAGCCGTCCCTGACTTGACCTTAGTCCTCTTAGGCCTTCTTATCCCAAGGTGGGTGGGGAGTGAGCTGAGAGGAATTTGCATTTCACTCTGGTGAAGGCATAGATGCACAAGGAGAACCTATCAGAGGTGAGACAATGCAAACCACTGGTGTGGACCAGATAAACAAAGGAAGACAGATAAAATGAAATGTCTGCCACAGATGGCAACAATAATCTTGTTCTAGACACAGCACTTATAGCTTGAGCATGCATAGCTGTCCTTTCAGCTGATCCTCCCAACAGCTCTGAAAAGCAAGTGGAGCAGGAATTAAAGAAGAAAAACGTACCACATCCAGTACTTAGCAAAACCAAGATTTGGACCCAAGTGTTCCATTGAATTCAGGACTTGATGCCATTAAGGTACAGAGAATTATGCATTGAGCATTAATCATAGTTTTGACAGAAGCTGAGTAGAACAGAGAATCCGCATCACAAGGCTGAGAGCTCTCAAAGCCCACTCACTGACATTTGTGAACATGAGCCATGGGCAGTTTGTTTAATGGCCAGATTCTATCCTCAGATATGTCTTGACAGTCAGCTCCCAGCATGGTGGAAGTAAAACAGACTTTGGAAGCAGTCCAAGAATTAAGTCCTGGCTCTGCCACTTCCTGTCACCTTAACAAGTTAATGACCTCTCTGGTCCTCTCTTTACCCACAAAATGAGTATATTAGTTCCTACCCCAGAGGGTTGTTGAGGGATTAAACAAAGTAAGGTTTGTAAACTCATAGCAGCTCTGGCATAACGTAGATGTTCAAGAAGGAGTCGTTTTCAATATTGCCAATGTCATCATATGGAGTAAGTTCAGTGCCTTCAATTCTGTCTGGAGACGTCTGCCCACTACAGGTCATGAGATATGGACTTCATAAGCTCAGGCACAGTTAGTGACCACTGGATGTAAATCTGCTACCGCTGGACTCAGGCCAGGCAGATGAAGGCTATAAAATTGAAGACTCTTCCTGCCTTCCTGTGTGGAGTCCTTCTGTCTAGTCTTCCCCAGTAATTTCCTATTTCTCCAGGGTTTCCATGTCTGATCAATACCACCTTTTAAAAATGTATTCATGAACGCCATGATGCATTTTGGGCATGGAATATTTATTCCAGGAAGCTTATTCTAACAGAACCATACCTGGCCTTATTTAATCCCCTGGCAGCTACCTAAAGCTGCTATTGATGTAAGATTTGGAGCAGTCAGGCAAGATGCTTGTTGAAGTTTCGCTTTAAATCAACAAAACTTAAACCTCAAATAGGGTTTCTTTAAATACAGAGGTTTCATGCAAAATCTCCAAAATCCCCTGTGCAATAAATCCTAGCATAAATCCAAACTGCTTACACAATCAGCTTCACTGGCCTGAATTTAAACCCAAATACAGGATGTTACTTTCTTGAAATACAGGGAAAGCAGAGTGTTATTCTCTTATTATTTTTTGGTAAAAAGCATTTGGCCTTCTGGTCCTGGAAAGGGCCTGGCCTGGACTTCGGGTTGCTTTTCTCCATCATTTGTGTGGTTTACCATGAAGTGAGTTTCACTTACACATGGCTGCCTTGGTGCCTTTTTCTGGGGACTGTTGTAAAATGCTTGAGCAAGAAACACACCTGCAGCCTTGTTCCCTGCAATAACTCCTCCTAGCACCTCTTCCGCACTCTTGTTCCCAACAGAACGTGTTTGTACAACTGTCCTTGGCCTTTAGAAATGACAGCTACACCCTGGAATCTAGAATTAACCAGGCTGAAAGGGAACGCAACCTGACGGAGGAGAACACTGAGAAGGAACTGGAAAACTTTAAAGCTTCCATTACGGTAATTGTGGAGTCTGATTTAAGGAATTCTTGCAGGAGGGACTGTCTCCAAGGGTCATGCCAAGTGTCACACATCTCTTGGTCACCAAGTAGAGACTTATGAAATGAGAAATGGAGCCAAGATCCTGATAGGGCCTTCCTCAGAGAGCTGGGGGAGCTGAGGCATAGATCCTGGAGGCCAGATTACCTTAGGTCTGTGAATGAGGCCTCGGAGCCCATGGGAGCTTCTCAAGAGGGGCTGGGTGCCTGCACATGACTCCTTTCAGGCCAGCCAGGTATAGAGTATCTACGTAGGGCTTCTCCAATTTCCAGAAGATGCTGTGGCTCTAGCCCTGTCTTAGCAAAGATAAGCCCAGGGCCTGTCTCATGAGCCTGTCATATTATTAGGCTTGGTATTACTCCAGTCAGCTCAGGCTGCTATAATAAAGTGCCATAGACTGGGTAGCTTAAACAACAAGCATTTATTTCTCACAATCCTAGAGGCTAGAAGTCCAAGATGAAGGTGCAAGCATGGTCAATGCTGGTCAAGGGCCCTCTTTGGGCTTGCAGACTGACATGGTAGAAAGAAACCAAGAGAACTCTCTGGGGCCCCTTTCATAAGGACATAATCACTCCTGAGGGCTCTACCTTGGGACCTAATCATCTCTTTAAAAAAAGCCCCACTTTCTGGTACTCTGACATTGGGGGTTCGGATCTCAGCATATGCTTTTGAGGAGGGCACAGACACTGGGTCCACAGCACTACATGAGGACACTGGGTGATGTTCCTTCTTGCTTCTCAGTCCTCAGCATCACTCTGGCACCACTGTGAGCATCGTGAGACCTACCAGAAGCTGCTGGAGGACATTGCTGTCCTGCACCGCCTGGCTGCCCGTCTCTCTAGCCGAGCCGAGGTGGTGGGGGCTGTCCGCCAGGTGAGTCCGTCCAACCCCAGCCTTGCTGACTGGTTCTTTTCTACTTGTGGTAACTAGCACAATGACCAGCAGGGACAACTAGAGACAACACCCAGTGACGTGTTGCTCTGTGTCAGGAGGAGGTTATTGACCTATTGTTCAGAGTATTTTTATTGACCCACAAAACCCTCAGGATGCTTCCTGGAAAAAGCTTTCTGTGGACACATAACTTTGGCGATGACTGTTTACTGTTTTTCTTCTTGGAGATTTCTAAAGCATATTGGTATTGAGAAGTCCTGTAGGAAAAAAGAATAGGTACTGAAAAAAGGAGAAGATGAAGACAATGAAGAAAGAGGAGGAGAAATCCTTAAAAAAAAATAAACAAAGTTTAACTTGTATTTCCCAAATGTATTTGACTGAAGAACCCCTCACTCAATTTTTCTCACAAAGTAACTATTTAACTCCCACGGAACTAGGATTGAGAAAAACATCCTTTAGGAAAAGCTGTTTTGTTTCATTTGATTCATCCACTAATCCTCCAAAGTATCTGTCCCTTTTCCCGGATGAAGATGTAGAAGATCTGAAAGGCATAGGTTGAGCATCCCTAATCTGAAACTCCAAATTCTGAACTATTCCAAAGTTTTTGCACCAATAATGATGCATCAAGTGGACAATTCTACACCTGAATTCATGTGTCAAATCACAGTCTTAATGTAGATGCTCTAAAAATATTGTATGAACTTACCCTCAGGCTACAAGTAAATGGAATACAAGAAACATTAATGCATATCATGTTTAGACTTGGCTTCCATTCCCCAAGGTATCTCATTATGTATATGCAAATATTCCAAAATCTGAAAAAAATCCCAAGTCCAAAATGCTTCTGGTCCCAAGTGCTTCAGATAAGAGATACTCAACCTGTGACAGCACCAGTGAGTGGCAAAGCAGGGGTGCAGGCCCAGGTAAGGCTCTCTCTTGGTCACTTTGGTCCACCCTGGTCCAGCACGGTGTTATAGGGCCGTACTGCTCAAGTTCTAGTCCTGGTTCCACCCCTCACTTGCTGTGAGACCTTGGGATGGGTACCAAGCTCTCTACGCTTCAGTTTCTTCAGCTGTGAATGAGGATGATCATGGGCCTGCCATAGGGTTGCTGTAATCCTTGTAAAGTACTTTGATGTTGTCATGACAGTTGCTATTTTCACGGACCCACATCCTGCTGCACTGGATGCATGAGAGGATGTTCCTGGGGTGTAGCCCTGAGCACTGCCTGTGAAATGAAAAGACAAGCCACAGGCCTGACCCACCCTTGTGTCCTTCTGGATAGAGCTCCTGACTCAGCAGTGTAGCCCAGGAAGTCACCCAGCTGGGAGCAGCCACACAGAGAGGATGCTAGGGAGTGGCCCGTCTCAGCGCCACTGAGCTATCGGGACCTCTTCCAGGGAAGTCAATGGGGAAGTCCCTCTGAGGCCAGATGGGGTCTGAGCTAGACCCTCTGAGGGACAAATAGACACTGTCCTCCCAAACGTGCGCCACTCTCCCAAATGTGTTTTTTGTCCCCTATGTTGCTCACTCTATCTTTGCCCTTCTTTAAATGGCTCTCCCTCCCTGGCTTCCGTCCCAGTCCTTGCCTTCGTCTCTGCTTCCAATGGACTAGCTCGAGTGCTTGTCCTGTCTTTCTCTGTTGCTGTCACTGCCACCAATCTCACTCCCTTTCATCTGTCTCCACTCATATTGCCTCTTACCTTAAGAAATTGAGTGGTTCCACTTTTTATTCAGAATAATCCTAATTCCCCCATTTTTGCATATAGGGTCCTTCGCAGCCTAGTTATAGTTCACCTGTTTTTCTTACTTCTTCTTCCCAGCTGCTAACTGACCCTTGCCTGAGTGGGACAACGGCACAGCCCTGGTTTATGCCTATTGTCCCAGCGAGATTTGTAATGGCACCCCCTTTTCACTCTCTAAAGGATTCCTGTCTGGAGGATAACTCCTCACCTACATTCAAGCCTTATGAGGTCCTTCCTTGACTCACCTTGGGGTTCCCTGGTCTGCATGCTCTTTGTGTCTCCCCGCCTGTGTCTACATGCTCAGATACTGCCCACACCCTGCATCCATGACTTTGTTTCATCTCCACCCACCCACCCTCCCCTGACCCATTCTCTGCAAGCAGAAACAAATCCCTTCCTCCTCTCACTTCCTGCTGCACGAGGCTGTGCCTTTCTCCTTATCCCTGAGCACAGGTACCTGAGTCCATCTCTTGGTTTACATCTCGGGCAGCAGTCTCATAGGGAGCATTGTCACATCTGATGGGCCCCAGTATCCTTCCCAATCTCACAGAGCAGAGCCTGGCTCAGAGCAGACAAGTGCTGCTGATGCCTTTCCTCCAATTGCCCCCTGAACACATGCTCTCCTTCCCTGCAGGAAAAGCGCATGTCAAAAGCAACAGAAGTGATGATGCAGTATGTGGAGAATCTGAAGAGGACCTATGAGAAGGACCATGCAGAACTCATGGAGTTTAAAAAACTTGCAAATCAGAATTCAAGCCGCAGTTGTGGCCCCTCTGGTAAGGGACTGAGCTTCTGCTCCCATCTTGCTCTCCGCTAGGACCAGAGGGATCAGGACAGCCCTAGGACCTATTTCCAATTGCAAGGCTCCCTTCCCCTGCCCAATGTCACCCACAGGGCATTTGCAGCAGCTGCTTCAGGGAACCTGGGGTCCTGGAACCAGGAAATGGGAATGACCTCTTGACTCCCAACACAATTTACCAGAGTGGCTGTCTACAGACAAAAAAAAAATACAGGCTGCAAGAGCTCTCTTTGCCTTGTGAGAATGACCCCAAACCCCATAAATCTTTGTGCTTTGGGACCCCCTTTTAGGCACCATATGCTAAAGAACTTGGGCTTTATTTTGGAAAGCATTAGGGATACGACCAAGGATTTTAATCAGGAAAATGACGCAATCATATGTGTAGTTTAAGAAGGTGCCCTCCAGTCGCAGTGCATCAATCACATTACTGGGGTAGAGCACAGCCAAGGAGCCCATGGAGAGGATATTGCAACGGCCCAGGTGAGGGGTAAAGTCTGGACAGTGGGGGTGGAGTGTGAGCCTGGCAGATGGAGGTATTGCTGAGATAAAGAGCAGACTCCGGGAAAGACAATGTTTTAAAGAAATCCTCTCAGATATATATTTTAAGTTCCACACAAATTGCTATAGGAGCACAGAGGACTGCCTGCTGATTCTGCTTAAGGAAGTCAAGGAAGGCTTCACAGAGGGATGGCATCTCCTCAGTATTTTAAAATAAAGCTAGGAGTTCTGCAGTTAAGAGGGGCAGATTCATTCCTGGTGGAGAAAACAGCACGGACAAAGATGTGGAGGTTGTAGGTGAGAAGATAAAACAGTTTGATGTGGTTGCAATGGTGGTGTGTGATGGGGACAGGTTGAAGATGACACCTGGCAGAACAGGGCTGCCTGTCAGGCCATGATGATATCAATGCAGGCCTTTGTCCTCCAGCCAGAGAGGAGTCATTGGTGAGTCTGTCATGTGACATGATAAGATTTTATTTTTAGAAGATCACCCTGACTTCAGTGTGTACAGTACATTAAAGGAGTGTAAAGTTCAAGTGGGGAAGGATGAGTTAGGAGGTTCTTGTTCAGTGCAGGAGGGAGATGTCAGTGCCTTGTCGGTGCCTGCCAGGGCTTGGGCTCCGCTGATGAGGGTAGTTAGTGGAGAAAACGGACATTTTAGCATCAGGAATCCCAGTGGAATGCAAACATCCATGTCACCAGGAGGAGGAAGAGTGCAGAAAGTATAATAGATGGAGAAACCTTTATAAACAGGAGGTTTCACAAGTTTCCTGGGAAACATCAGTGACACTTCCCAGAGTCCAAAGGCAGTGCACGCACGCTCCAGGCTGTCTGCTTTGGATCTTTGCAGCAAGGCTCCTGACCCCTAGGGATCTGGGCTTCTAGCAAACCACTCTCAGCCAGTGCTGGAAGATGGGGAAGGGACCACCAAGGAAATCTTTTACCTGGGTTATCACATTATTGTTCTATAAGGTGCAAGGTCTCCCGAGGACCACCTTATCCAGGATTCATGGGATGAACTTCAGTCTTGTTCGTTAATTCTACACTTATTAAGCATCGTCTGTGTGCCCCATATGATATTGGAATATAGAGTTTAAGGCAGTTAGTCCCAGACCCAAAGGAGCGCCCAACCTGTGGGGAGGTCAGGACGCTGTGGCCAGTGCCTTAGCAGAAATAAGCAGATTTCCACATCTTCTCTTGGGGGATAGGAAAATGCTTACAGTAGGAAAGGATATGATAGCTGAGTCTTGACTGATGAATCAATGGTTTGGCAATATTTGGCCTCCCTTCCATTGTTTTTCTAAGCTGTGCCTTCTCTTGAGCTGGTGGGAAGGGGTCAGCACTCACCCAGCAGGTGCGTCCCTAAGAGATGTATGACCATTCCCAAAGACTGCTTTTTAAGCCTTTACATAACTTCTGACCATCTTTGTCAATGAGACTTTGAAGACTTCAGTGAAATAAAATATCCCTGATTTTTAAAAAAAAGATGTACATTAAAAAAATTCTGAATCTGCAACATGCTGATTATGTGTATATTATATTAAGATAGATTTTTAGTGGTATAAATACTAGCTCAGGGAAAAGAAAGATTTATAAGGATCTTAAAGCAACTTATTTTCAAATAACTCATTTCCATTGAATGAATTACAGTGAGGCTCAATTCACTGTGTCACTGATGCCCTTCTTTTTCTTTATTTATAAAAATATGTCTGACTTTGATAGGCCCAAATTTAACCTCATTGTGTTAATTTATATTTCTTTGATTTTACAAATATTCACTAAGATTTATATCTCCACTTCTGTAAATTCTTGAATTATGATGTTTGCTCACTTGTAAGATTGGTATTTTATTAATTTGCATGAACCCTTAAGACATAAAGAATTTCATTTGGTTCTGCAAACTGGGCTGACTAGGAAACTTGAAAATCCTTTAACCACAAATACTTAGAAATTTCTAAAGGACAAAATCAAGCAAGCAATCTTAAAGAAGAGCTGAATCCACAGGAAAAAGAAATTGAAACACTCAGATACAAGAAAAGAAAACAGAACTGAAACCAAGCTGGCCCTGCAGCTTCCTAGGGGACAGAGTCAGCCTGAGTTATCTGGGGGTGGAATGTTTGCACTCCAGGGCCACAGCTGTGGCTGCTCACAACAGAGTTGACACTGAGATTCACACAGAAGGCAGAGACCATCCAAAGATTGTACTTTTGTAGAATTTGGATGAGGGGGAAACTGTCATCAACCAACATAGAAATAAATAAGGAAGTCTGTCTGTTTCATCCTGCATTCTAGTAGGGAAAATAACACTTTCTCCTTCCTCATAGGAAAAGTACATACCCAGAGTGAGAGCAGTAATGATGCAATGTGCAGGGAGCTGAAAGAACAGCAGGATGGGGCCTCGAGGAACACTGTCAGCCACTCCAGAGAGGCACACCCTGCACCCAGGACACACAGGCTCCCTCTAAATAGCACCTCACTGAAGACGAGTTCACAACATAAAATGATAAATACTACATCACTGAGAATCATCAGATCCACCGAACAACAGGATTGTAGCCTAAGAACATCATATAGGAAAATGATTTTTTAAAAAGATACCTTTAAAATTATTAGAGACATAAAAGGATGAATGGAAGATATGAGAGTAAAAGGGTATAGTTATCCAAAAAGAAGAAAATAGAATTCCTCAAAATGAGAAACAGGGTCATCCCTAACATGCATAAGACCCTCGTTGAAACCCCATCTGGAAAAAAAGAAAGAAAGGAAAAAGAAACAAGCGAACTTTGATCAAGACAACAAATAAAAGTTCCTGCCTCCCAAATGACTTATCAGTGTCTGTACTTCCTGGACAAGAACAAGGCTTTCTTCCACTTTGAGGTATTACATTGTGCACATGTTTATTAAAACATCCTCATCACAGTATACCAGTGGCCAAAATGGAAATAAAATTCCCATTTTACAGAAAAGGTGACTGAGGTGCAGGTTGCTTGTTTGACAGGGAGACTTAGATTTCCTACTTCATGGAGAAAAGTAAAGGATTTCATTTTCAGGTTTATAGCACATCAGGGCTCTCTGATTTTAAAACTCTGAACTGATTCCTGCACAATAGCCTGTGGCCTGTAGGTCCTCTTTCTCATGGAAATAGAAAATTTCCCAAAAAATAGGGTCTGGAAATAGAAGATTGAGTAGCTGAGGTGCGGTAGATGTGGTAGTTACAGTAGTTGAAGTGATTCCTCAGTATTCTAGGTATCTTCCTTCTGGGCACCCCTCCCCATCCCCTGGAAGTTAGGCTAGGCATGAGGCTGGCTTTGGTACGTGAGATGTGTCACATCTGAGCTGAGGTCCTTAGGAACTAGAGTGTAGTTTGCCCTGACTTTCTTCCTCTTGACCTGACTATGGTCACTGCTCCAGAATACTGAAAGGTCCAGCTTGACTGGTGATAGAATAGATATAGTCACCCAAAAGGCAATTCAGAGGGATACAGTGAGAAAAGAAATATCATGAGATATGGGATGTAGAGTCCAGAGTGAGAAAGTCTGCAATCCATTTATTAGATGACCCCTAAGAGGTAATTAGAGCCAGAACATACTCAAAGAAAGAATAGCTGAGGATTTTCCACAACTAAAGAAAGACCTAAATCATTGAATTCAGTAAGCATAGTGAATTCCATGCAGAAGACATAGCACACAAAAGAGAAGCTTCAGAAGAACAAAGACAAAGTGAAGATCTTAAAAGTCACCAGAGAAAGAAGAGAGTTGACAAAGCAATGGCAAGTCTCAAAAGCAATAATGATACCAGAAGGCCATGGAGTAACCTTTTCAATGAGCTGAGAGAAAATTACTGACAACATAGAAATAAAAAAGAGATATAAGAAAATCATTAAAGATAGAGGGCTAGGTCAAGACATCTGGAGACAACTAATGAGAAAGTTTACCTCTCGCAAGTCCTTGCTCAAAAAACAACTAACTTTGGGAAGCATGAAATTGAGTTAAAAAAGTAAAATGAGCAGGATGTAAGAAAGAACAGTGACCAAGCCAATTGTAAGCATGTGGGCAGATCTAAACAAGCATTCACTGTAGAAAATGATAATGAAAAATTTTGGACTATAAAACAAGGTAAAAGAAAAATAGTGAAAAAATATAATTAAAATTGGGAGATTGTTACTGTTTTAAAGTCTCAGGAAAAGAATAGAGATCTTCATTAATTTTAAATTTAAAGTCAAATTTAAATTTCTAAAGTTAAAGGAATACACTAAAGATTAAAACTACAATGAATAATTTTCAAACCAACATTAGAAGTAGGTAAAAAATTAGAAAAAAAACTTAATGAATAAAGCAGGGTAAATATAAAATATAAAATAATATAATGGAAATAAAAATATATGAATAATCATAAGAAATATAAGCAGCATAAACCTGTTGCCTAACAGAGAACCTCAGATTAAGGGAAAAAATATGTAGTTATGCACTTTTTAAGAGACACACCTAAAGTATATAGATATGAAGGCTAGACAGATATACAGGCTAAATGATATTGGTCAAACTGAATTAACCTTGCAAATACCTGTCTTTGTCAGATGTTTCCTGGTGGCACTGTTATGCAGGTGTGATGCTAAACACTTCATATAAATTATGTCATTTCATGGATATACTAAGGAGAAGAAAATCCTAGGGTGGTGGCTTCCTTTGTTCTGAATCATTGGGCATGTGATATACTGAAACTACTTCTTTAGCAAGTTTTCATTCTTACCAATACCACACCTTCCTTGCTCCGAGTTTCTCTGATTATAACTCCCTTAAGTGAGCATGAAAGACCCAATAAGCTTTGGTGTTGCTATGAGTAGATCTCACACATTATCCAAAGCGACACCCAGAGATTGTGTAGTGTTCAACGAAGACCAAAGGTTCCAGATTGTGACTTCTTATTAATGTCCAGTAGATCTAGGATAAAGATTTCATCCAAAAGAGTTCCCATTCTGCAGATGATCATCTCAGAGAGTGAAGGGCCAAACTCTGTCCCAAACATCCAGAGCATTGGGCTATTCCTTTGAAGGCCAGTTCTGACTGTGGCTTAGTTTCTGCCTGTTTCCTGCTGAGGCCCACTTTGAAACTTATATGAGTTTTCTCTGTTTCCTCCCGTTATAGAAGATGGGGTCCCTCGCACGGCGCGGTCCATGTCCCTCACGATGGGAAAGGTACGCATGTTCAAGGAATACTGGGGCTCCCAGAGAACGTAGGACAGAAATTTCTATGGTCACTCAAGAAATCATTCAGTCATGGATCATAGAATCCAGAGACCCTCTGAAAGTTTCCATTGAGCTTCCATATTTGCTAGCTTAACCACTGGAATCTCACCTGTCATGTACATATGTAGTTTTCCTGACTATACATCCTTTAAAGAAGATGAAATGGTGCATAAACTTTGGTGCTGCTATGGGCAACTTTAATATACTATCTAGGATGTTATTCAGAGACCAGGGGATCATTTCCATTCTGTTTCTCCAGGATTCATAATCTAAAGTAAGAACATGCTGAGAGATCCCTCACCACCAATAGAAAAAATTTGAGTCAAATTTGGCTACTCACTTCACACCAATTTTTCAACACCATCAGTATCCCAATACCAAAATATTCAGTTAATATCATTACAGCATTAGGAACTAGTAGGCTTTTTCCAGGCCATTCAGAACTATGACTGTTATTATCTCCAAGAAAGTGGGACTGGTCACTTCTCTTCCTACAGAACATGCCCCGCCGGAGGGTCAGTGTTGCTGTGGTTCCCAAGTTTAATGCCCTGAACCTGCCTGGCCAATCTCCCAGCTCATCACCCATCCCCTCTTTACCGGTCCTGGTGAGTATGATGAGGCCTGCCTCCCATTCCTGGTCTGCCTTTCCATCACACTCATGGCTATGGAGGGGATCCAGATTGGGGCAGGATTGATAAGAAAAGGAAATCACCAGAACAGAATTCGGGTGGTAATCTCAAAACATTTAATGGAAACTAGGTCACGTGTATACCACTGCTCTGAGAAGAGGTCTCAGTGTCCTTGAGCAAGGCATAAGCAGCTCAGAAAATGTTCCTTACATTCATACTGAATCCCAATTTTCCAAGGTGGGTATTTTTTTTCCCCACTCTGCAATGAGTCTAAAGAGCTGAAGGTGAATGGGAATGGGAGAGCTGAGCCTTAAACCCAGGCTCTCTGATCCCAGAGTCTGCATTCTTATACCTAGTGTTATTCTGCCTTGATTCTTGGCAGCATTGTATGTTACAACCTAAGGTGGGAAACAACCTAAGGTCCATGCATGAGAAATTGTTAAACAAATTATGAACATTGCTTTAAAGAGTTTCTGTAGAATAGAATTTTTGTCCATAATGCATTCTAAATAATTAGCAATTATATGTATATATTAGTTTGTATATAGTTTAATTCTGTTTTGTAGTTTTTAAAAAAAAATATTTCTAGATGTGGACATAAAAAAATTCTGGAAGAATATATGTAAAATTTAGTAATAATAATCTCTGGACAATGGTAAAACATGAAATTTTTATTTTCCTTTTGATGCCTTTTAAAATTCCTATAGTATGAATTTATGAGTGATAATCAGAAAAAAATCCATTTCAATTGCTTTAAATACAGTTTTTATATTTATATGAAAATATTTTCCACATTCCAGGCCTCTGTGTATCTGATTAATTCTATCTAAAATGCTTGTAATTCCTTCTCCAATGGTTTCTCTATTCCTGGTTGTAACTAGCATTTTTATATAAACAATTTGTGTAAGCAATTGGTAGTTCAAGTTCTATTGCCACAGCAGTACATAGCAATATATTTTCAGTTTCTTTCACCTCTTCCCAACTCAAGCATTATCATCTATGAAATGATCCTCAATTTCCAAATCACTAACACAAAGCAACCTAAAAAAAGGTGTTTTAAAGGTTGGGAAGGATTGGTTAGTACATTTAACAGACCTATTTCTTCCCATACTCTACCTAAAGGAGCAAATGTGGTTTCCAAATATATATTTCTTTAGACTAGTGGTTACCAACCAGGGCTGTACATTAAAATCATAAGGGGACTTTGAAACCATTGAATGCCCAGGCCCCTTCCCCAAGACCATGGGGTGGATCCATACTTTTAAATCTCTCTCCAGGCCATTTGTCTTCCAGGTGGTCCTAATGTGCAGCCCATACCCTCTGGGACAAAGCAAGGTGGGACTCCTTGGGAATGGTTCATACAAAGGTGTTCCTGCTGGTGGGTGCCTGCAGTAATGGCAGGCATCTCCTGAGAGTCAAGCTTGGAGCTGTAAATTTAGGGGCAGTGGTGGGCTTGTGTGAGCCCATCCCGGGGAACAAGGGACCAGCATTGCCTACTGGCATTCAGTCACAGTCAGGAAATGGGACAAAGGAAAACCGAGGGCTGCCCTCTAGAATGGAGCCTTAAAATGTAAAGTCTTAAGGAAACAAGAGAAGAAAAAGAGCAAGTTTCAGATGTCTCAGGGAAGGCCCCAAGGGAAAGGGTAAACACCTGCACTCCCATGCAGGTTGGCAAGTTGGGGAGGGAATGAGGAAGGGAGAGAAACAGCCCCTCCCCAGTGTCAGCAGAGGCTCAGCAGCCCTGACTTCTGTGGCTCATCCTCAATCCTCTGTCTCCTGTTTCCCATCCAGTCGGAATCACCCAATGGGAAGGGCAACCCACCTGTCGTCCCAGCACTGCCTGCACTTTTGGAAAAGTAAGTTTGTTGATTTTCCTCTTAATGTTGGGGATCCCTGAGGAAAGTTTCCCCAGCTTACCTTCTTTCCTCCCGTTCTCAACCCCAAAATTCAGTGAAAAGAAAATTAAGTTCTAGGGGTAATCAATGGGACTCTGAGATCCACAAAGATTTCCAATCCACTTTGTAAAATTCTTGGGCCAGGAAGATGCTATGGCTGAGGCCAAGTGCACCCAATCTAAGAGCCCAGGAGAAACGGAAGTCTCTGCTGCTGGTTAGGATTCTTGGGCTATAGATACAAGAAAGCCACAAGTCAGCAGGGCTTAAAATATAAGTCCAGAGGTAGGGATCTACAGTTTCCTTGCTTCTGGCTACTTCATCATCAGGCTTATGATTATGGTTATTCTAAGTCCAGGCATCCCATCCAGACAGGATACTATCTGGGGAAATACAGGCACCATTTCTTCCCTATTTCATTCTTAAGAATGAACCTGAAAATTTTCTTAGTCTTCCCTCTTATCTCATTGGCAAATTGGGAACATGGTCCCTTTCTAAACCAATTATAGGCTTTGGGACTGAGCTCGCCATTGTGGGCTTAAACTATTCCTTGGAGTTGGGGAGACAGTCAACTTCCTCTGAAGCACAAGGACTCAGTGAAGAGGAGTAAATTCCTGAACAGAATCGTGTTGCTCTTAGGAGGAAGGAAGAGAAGGGCTGCATTGGTAGCCTGGGGGTCTGTTTTGTCTGACTTCTCTAGGCGCCTATGCAATTCGCAGGTCTTTTCATCCTCAGCCAGAGCGAGACAGGCTGTTTCTATGTACTCAGGGGAGTTTATAACTTACTTTTCTAATTCTTCCATTTGCTTGGTGGAAAACATCTGGATCACAGCTGGCACCTCTCAGAACTTTCCCTTGCGTCTTTCTCTTATTCTTTCTCGTTCCTTGCCCTGAGACAGCTTTAGTCCTTCATTTTCCATTGCTGTTAGAAAAGTTTTGCTTGACTTGGCAAGGAATGTGTACGTTGGGCCCCTTTTCAGGTACAGACAAGTCCCCAAGCTCTCCACCCTCAGACTTGGCCTGTGCAGTCACCACCTTCTCATGCACTGACACCCCGCTGGGTTAGTCTCCCAGATTGCCCAGCATTCCCGCCTTTGCCATGTCATCCCCATGAGCTTTCAGGTCCTTCTTGGTATGCAGGGCATCCTCCCCCTCCTCTTTCTTCTCCATCTCTGTAGAGAAGTTGTAAAGAAATGACAAATTAACTACCATGTGAAATATCCAAGGATACAGAATCTTACCAAGTCCCTGGAGTCATAGTGCCTAGCCCATGGTCTCTGAATCTCTCCGATATGGTCCCTTGAGGCTCTGAGTAAGGAGTTACATAAACCTCTGTCAACCCTCCCTTCACCAGTTCCACTTAATTCCCAAGTCTAGACCTATGGAGCCAGTCAGGGCAGATGGGAGTCCTCATGTTCCCCCATACTCTGATCAGCATGGAGCAGGACCTGAACTCTGTAAAACTAATGTGCAGCTGAGAGCTTCTGTCCAAAGCAGTGGAGATCAAGAACAAGATGGTAGGAGAAACTGGGGTACAAAGTCGGGGATGGCAGGCAACAACCCCATATCTAGAATGTCAATGAGTGAAGATCAATGATGGTGTCAGCTTTGCAACACTTTAGAATCAGGAGAGAAAGAGCCAGAGTGAAAATCAAGGTAAGGTAAGTAAGAGGTTCCCAGGAAGGTATCTGAAGTTCTTTCCCGGGGCTGACCAGAGAGATGGCCACTCGCCATGTGTGCTGCAGGCTGACTCCCCTGTTGGGAACCCGTCCTGCAAGGATGCTGTGAAGAGGGGAGGGAGGAGTCAAAGGAGAGGGTCGGGACTAATAACAGCTTTTCCCTCCAGATTTATAAAAGGTGCTAAGAGATTTCCATCTGAATTCATGAAACTGGAAACATTTTAGACTAATATGGAGATAGTTGGTGAGTGAAAATGAATTCACACCTTCTGTTCTAGACACAGATGCAGTCCATTCTAGCTACCCTGTCCAAACTGTTAAAGAAAAATAATGTGGTATAATTTAGTAGCCAGTGCTTTCTAGATTGCCGTATTCAACTTCATGTTGAAGATCGAATAGCCTGTGGCTAGTTCACAAATTCTTGAGAGCTGACTGCACTGCACAAAGTGGTTTGAGAGAATTCTGGGCCTTGTGTCTTGTAAGTCATCTGGTGATAAACTCTTCTTCATTCAACTAGGCCTAGGAATGCGCAGACTTAAACACAGGTAGAGAGTTGTATTCAAAGTTAGAGATTAAAAAGAACAAAGCTTGGGTTGGGGTTGTGACTCAGTGGTAGAGCGCTTGCCTAGCATGTGTGAGGCACAGGGTTCAATTCTCAGCACCACATACAAATACATAAAATAAAGGTCCATCAAAAACTTAAAAAAATATTTTAAAAAATAAAAACAACAAAGCTCAAGAGTAGTTCCACACCTCAGAAGAGCTGAATATTTGTAGCCTTTTATTCTTTCATTCCTGTAACATTTAATCACAGAGGGCCAGGCACATAGAAGGCTCTCAAGGAGCTTCAGTCTAGTGGGAAAGGCAGATCAGAAACAGCCTATTATTTCACCAGTGTGCTGGGTGTTACTGGAAGGAAGTACAGGTTGCTAAGGGAGCAACACACAAGAAAATGAGCAGCTAACCCAGTGTGGGTATAGGATAGCGGGAAGGAGGGGCTTAGAAAAAAAATCCCCCTAGGAACTTACTTTTAATGTGCATCTGAGGGGGAATATTACTTTTCAAGTGAAACCTACAGGTTATATAATTAGCAAGGAGTACAGGAAGGAGGTTCTGAGGCAAAAAGGTGTGGAGTGTTTAAGGAATGATGATGATGATGATGATGATGAGAATATAATGATGACAATTTTATTTACTGCATATTTTTGTGTGCCAAGTGTTTTATTAATTGCTTTACATGAGAATCTTATTTAATCCTTACAACAATCCCATACATATTTTATAGGTGAGGAAACTGATGCTCAGAGAAATCATCACTTACCTGAGCTCATGCGACATAACCTCTTAATAGACCCTCCCACTAGAAAAACAGGGGAAGTTTAGTGTGACTATTGGGTAGAGGATGGATTTAAGAGCTTTTTTGTTTTTTTTAAAGAAACTTGTGATTGGACGGACGCACAGAGGAGGGGTGGGGAGCATGGTATGTGTGGAATTAATCACTAGGGGATTAGCAGAGACATGATGTGGATGATTCACAAGGCTAGTTGCTCAAAGGGGCCTTTATACTATGTACCATGGTAGAGTGTTAAGCAAAATCTCTAAAATCATAATCTTCTAACACTTTTGCAGTAGCTAGGATAAACACTAGGGTAAACCACTTAAATATTTCATATGCCATTAAATTTGTACAGTAAGCACCCCTCCCCCTTGCTGATAGTATTCTGGAGTAAATTGTCCTCCAATAAACTTGTTGGACTCTGGACCCAGGAATCTGGGACCAAATAACAGTTAGTTCCACCAACTCCAGTCATCTGGGCTGGCCTTGTCAGAGTGAGCCAGGGCAATGGTGGTGGCTTAGAAATATTGCTGAGCCCAGGAAGATAACATCTGTCCTTTGGAAAGGATTGTAGTCACTTTCAAATATTGTTTAATATGTGGAGAAAACTGAATGTAATAAACCTGCCTAACAGCACATTTTGACTAAACAGCTCCTCACTTTACTAAGAGCTCAGGATACTGACAAGCACTTTGACCTGGTGGACATGTGAGAACAATGAGCTTCATTTTAATGAATCACCCCAGAAAGAAGGTACATAGGATTTCAGGCTGGGGATGGATGCCAAGATCTGTGAGTATTTGGCCCAGAAAATCCCTGTGGTAGGCACAGGCTGTGCTCAGCACTCATTTATAGACATGGAAAGATTCCTTTAGCCCAACCCAAACACTGGGTTCTCAGCAAACACAGAGAGAACCCGCCCATTTCACAAGATTGGTAGACAGAGACTGGATAGATACATCTTGAAGAAGACAGGGCAACTCAACAAACTCCCAAAAGTACCTGCTGTACGCCAAGCATCATTTTGACTCAAACATAGTCCCTCCCCCTGTGGCAACAGTCATACAGAGGAATGCACAGGAATATAAAAATGCCCTCTGTCTTAGCCATGGTGTCATGGTGTCATGGGAGGGGTGAGAAAGCAGAGGGAGAGGGAGAGATCAACTTTAACCAGAGCGTGTGGGGGAAGGGAGAACATCAGCAAAGGCTTCATAGAGGAGGTTTTGAGCTGAGTCGTAAAGATATGTAAGGATAAATGTCTAGGGAATTGGAGAAGATATGTAGGGAACTGTAAGCTCAGTCTAGAGGTTAGGAGATGACAGTGAACAGCTTACGTACTGTGTGTCTGCCCCACCTCCAATCCTATTGATCCTGTCCCACTTGAAGCAAAGGCCCTCCACACTCCAAATCTGCAGCCTGTGAAAGAAGCACAGCATCGCTGGCTGTGCTCCAGCCTGCAGGTGGGGATGGCTTAACTCAGCAGGTACCTGGGAGCCTGTAAGGGTCCGGCAAACGTCGGAGGAAGAGACCACCAAGAGACCGACTCATGCAACCGCAAAGGGGGGTTTATTGAAGAATCCAGCACTCTCAACAAGGGAGAGCGGCCCAGAGCCCCGAGCAGGGGTTGAGCAGTGCTTAAGTACACTTTTTGGGGAGGGCGGGGGCTTTGCATACATCAGAGCAAATCATCATGAGGCGCGGGAAAATCAAACAACAATTCTTAAACATGATTAGTACATTCATTGGCGGGCACAGGTCAGGCGGGAGTGATAGGTCAATCCTAAGAAGGGGGGTACATTCAAACTGATTGGTTTGGGCCCTGAGATGCCTACGTGCCAAGCTACACAGGGTCCTAGGTTATTAAACAACTAAATGGTCAGGGGGAATATCTACTGAGCAGTCCCGGGAATTGTCCTAACAGCTACAGGAATTTCAGGTTTTGGGTGTAGCATAGGAACTTAACAATACCTGGTCCTTTACATTTTAACTCAGGCTTTGCAGCTTAGAAACTTTACGATACCCGGTCTTTTACACTTTAACTTCAATTTCTTTTACTCTTACAAGCCCACACACTACTCAGAGCTCCAGGGAAAGACTTCTACTGAAAGAGAGGCTTAGGGAGACTAGGAAATGCGTCTTGACACAAATTTAGAAGACCAAAGTGAGAGTCCCAGCAGCAACAATGTGACTTGTAGGCAAGTCACATACTCAACCCAAGCTTGGGTTTGTTGTCTGTCAGGTGGGATCATGTCTTGCCTGGTGGCAGATGGTGCAATCAAAAGCATGGGCAGGTGTTGGGCTACACAGGGTCCAGTTTGATTTGGAGCTGGTCATTTAACTTCTCTGAGACTTGGTTTCTTCACCTATAAAACTGAGAACAGTAATTCCTTATAGGGTCATCCATAAGTCCTAAGTGAGCTCCTAGAACAGAGCCTGGTATAGTGTTAGCTCTTCTTGTCATTGGGAAGATCAAGGGAGAGAACATATGTGAAAGTCCCATAAGGGAGCTGAAATGGACAGAAGGACAGAAGGTCCATGTTGAAGGGTGAATAAAATAGACTTCTGGGCTCTACCAAGGAAGTTTGTCTCTAGAGAGCAGTGGTGGCCCAAGGACTTAAGATTTGTTTAAGGTCATGTGGTCAGCAAAACTAGAAGGTGCCTGTGTATGCTATGGTACGTGAGTCATGCACTGAGAAAAATTTAAAGCAATCTTAGGTAAATTTCATGTAAATTATACCATACCTAACATTAGTTCACATTTAGAGTTCCTATGACTTTGAGTTGTCAGAGTAACCTATATCAAGTTCTCCCTTGAAGATGTAAAAATAATCACCTGGTAATTTATCAGCTTTTATTTTCTTTTACTGGATTAGGTTTGAAGGAAGCTCAGCTTGCTCCCAACATTTACCAATACATCAACTGAATAACAGTAACAATAATACTAATAGATATCATTTGTCCAGTGCCATATTCCAGAAAGTATATTTATGTTTCTCCATTAACTCTAACACCACCACCATCAAGTATGTATTATTGCCCCCATTTTACAGCTGAGGATCTGCAGTTCAGGAAGGCTAAGTAACTCACATGTGTTGGAGCTGGGATCTGGACCCAGGCTTGCCTCGTGCCTTCTTTTCCCCTGTCCTCCTTCAAACTTTCTTAACTTTACTAAACCTCTAAGGTTGGTAGCTGTAGAGAAAAGAAAAAGCGTGATAGCAAATATCTAATATATAAATATATTTCTTAAAAGAATTACTGTCCCTGCCCTTGGCTGTAGCTATGTTTTTCTTCTCTTGCTCCAGTCATTTGGACAAATAGGAAACTGCACATTAGGCAAAGGTCACATGGAAGGGAGTGGATAATGTAATTTGCAAAAGGAGAAATGTTATGAATAACTGGTATTTTTAGAGTGTTATCTTTCTTGTCCACAATGGGTTTTGGTTTCCAGTCTGATGAAATGTAAATCCTACAAGGTCTAAGGGAAAAACTAAGAGATGGGAAACTGATGCCAAGAATGAGGAGCAGATACAAAGCTCACTCATAAACCCTGCCTGAGGTCAGGGAGGGATGGCAGCTGCGATCTCTCAGAGTCCTGGCTGGAAAGCCCTGCTCACAGTTTTGCCTTGTTTGACGGTTCCTCCATGACAACATTCCTCCCATCGGGATCCTGGATGCCTCAGTGGGTTGCAGGATGTGTAGGGAAGGCATGGCCTTGAAACCTGATCTCTCCATACTTCAAATAAAGACTCAGCACTGCTCAGCCGACCTGCTGTGGTTTTCTAATATGTTTATTTTCTTACTTTCCCACATGACTCTTATACTTTCTGCTTCCTCCAACTTTTTTAGGGCCCTCTATCTCTCCCTCTCAGTAAATAACCTCCCATTTTATGAGACATTTAAGCTGCCTGTCAGTAGGAGCCCTCTCATCTTCCCTCACCAGACCCCCAAGATGTCTCCATCTTCTTCTTTCCTCTGTTGTGACCAAGGGATCCAGATTGTGAAGCCTCTGCTCCTGAGCCACCCCTGAGCTGCCTGGAGGAGAAGTCTTCATTACTTTAGTCAAAGACTTTGCTCCTTTGGTCATCCCTTTTTAAAAAAAAAAAAAAAATCCCTCTCCTGGATTTTTGATGTTCAAATGTGACATCGATTCTTGGCCACTTCTTTGGCTAACTGCTTCCTCCAAAATACTCCTCGGTCCTCAACCGAGTTAAATGCCTGTGTCTCTGCCTGTCTCACCTCCCTTTCCTTCCTAAATCCACTCGATCTGTCCTTGGCTCCCACCCTTACCTCAAGGCTCCTCTTGACCTCTGTATTATCATATCTATAGTCACTTGTTCCTTCAGACTCTCTGAAGATACAGTGAACTCTCCCTTGCAACACTCTCTCCATTCCTAGTGCCCAAGGCTCCATACTCTTCTGCTCTCTCTTGCCTTTCCGGTAACTACTTCTGAATTGCCTCTGGAGGTTCCTCCTTCTCCACCTAAGTGAGGAGATACTAGGGATTTGGTCCACAGGTCCTTTCTTATCTTTCCTCATGCTATCTCCAGGCAATCTTATCCAATCCCATAGGTTTAAGTATCATCTATATTCTGATGATGTCAATGTACATCTCCAGCTGAGAATTCTTCTCTGCCTCACTTGGGCATGAACAATTGTCCTCTTGACCTCTCCATTTGAATACCTCACATTCACAGCAACTTTATCTTTTCCAAAAGTTAACTCCCACCATGATGACTCTTTGCGCAACTCCAATGTCCCAGCACCTTTGTGCTTTCAGTCTTTATATATCCTGTATCCTCTACCTGGGATGATTTTTGTGTGCCATAGACATAGATGCACTTTTATCTTTTAGGCCTGTGCTTCGATTTCAGCACTTCAGAGAGGCCTTTTCTGACCATTCACTCTAAACACATTCTCTCATTATTTTCTGCCACTACATAGTTTTTTTCATAAGTATCATAATGTAGTAAATTACAAATTTTTTCTTTCCTTTTTTGGGGGAGAGGGGATGGGGATGGGAGTCTTTCTCTTCTGAGAAGCTCCTCAATAGCAAAAACCATCTTGTTATTTTCTTTTTTGTTAGTGGGGATTGAACACAGGGGCACTTTACCACTAGGCTACATCTCCAGCCTTTTTTCTTTTGAGACAGGGTCTTGCTGAATTGCTGAGGCTGGCCTTGAACTTGTGATCCTCCTGCCTCAGCCTCCCAAGTCACTGGGATTACAGGCATACATCACCACAACCAGCTCTCCTTTTGTTATTTCCTAATGTGTTCTAAGCACATTGCAATTGCCTGCAGCTTAGATAACAAAGATAATTAATTCAGTAGCTGTTTGAAAGAGTAAATAAGGTCATGAGAATATTTTGATTCACCCTCACTTTCCTCATCTCAGTGCCTTGAAGCTCTGAATCTGTCCACTTATAGCATCCCCTGGAATAAGAATTAAGGTGGATTTGGGCACATGAGAAGAGAAGCTGGTACAGTTTTTGATGGTCTAGGAAAGATTCATAGAGTAGAACTTCATAAAATCTTTTCTCAGAGCAGAAGGATTTTTAAAAAATCTAAAAGCTGAAGAAAGAGCTGATTTTCTTACTTGTAATCAGGAATCAGGCCAAAGACATGGCTTTGTTTGCAGATGCTCAACCTTTCCCTAAAATGATACCCTGTGCTTCCCCCTTCCCTCTAGTGGAAAGACAAATGGGGAGCCAGATTGTGAAGCCTCTGCTCCTGTGCCACCCCCGAGCTGCCTGGAGGAGATTAGCCAAGAGACCAAGGCCAGGGTGGAGGAAGAAGCCTACAACAAGGGGTGAGTCAGACCTCGGCCAACCCGGGGGCACCTGGCAGATCTCAGAAGATACCTTCCCACGGGCCTTTTCTTTTCCTAAGAGGTTTTGGGGAGGCAACCAGTGACCCCAGGGCCTCCTGACCCCCATAGGAAAAGTGTAAGACTATTCCACAGGAAGAACAGAAGGAAGCTGGGAAGGAGGGTGTGGTTAGGCAATAATAGACTGCTCTCTTTTTAGGCTTGAATACTACTGCTGGGAATGATCTGGAAATCAGGGGCTCAGGGTAGGTTCCTCTTGGTGGTGCTTGAGGTTTCCCAACACATGCAAGAAGCAGCCATGTTGCTGCCAACCATTACCCAGGGGCAGCTGCAACTCTGCTTCCTACAACTGCCCTGTCATCCCCTCCTCCTCTAAACTAGAGTCCCCTCCAGCTTCCAACCATCCCCTTCTCTAACTGAGCTGCAGGAGCACCTAAGGCTGACTGTTAGTCACTGGGGAGATGGCACTGAGCAGGCCCAGACCCCAAGATAGAGAATCACCTCCAACCTGGCTTGATGCCCCCCCCCCCACAAAGCTCCTGAGGGAGATACAGCTTCCTGCCCATCAGAACCCCAGAGCATCTGTGTGGCAGTCACACATAATGGGGGGACTGCTCCAGCCAAATCACTAAGTTAAGCACCATGCTATAGGACAAGTAAACATATGTTCAGGACAATACTGATCCTGGGAGAAGGAAATCAGAAGGTTCTCTTGGGAAAGCCTATCTTTTCACCTACAACTGTTATCTACCCTCAGAATGTGTGGGGGCAAACTCCTCCATTGTTTTGTGAATATTTACCGACTACCCCTCTAGGCTGAGCCCTGGCACTTCTGAAAACTGTCCTGTGCCCTCTGAGATGGGGATTCACCCTCTCTGTTTTACCAACGAGAAGATGAAGTTCCAAGGGTTACACAGAGAACAAATGCAATCTTATCTCTACAGTATGTTTTGTAGGATAAGAATCCAGGAGACCCTGTGCCCGCATTTTTTTCCCTGTCAGTTTGTCACAGTGTCACATAAACAGGAAGGATGACTGAGGAGTGAGGGGAAATGGTACTGACATGAGCCACGTTGGGGTTCAGTGGAGCTTCCCAGCTTTTTCCTGTTGTGTGGAATCACAGGAAGTGCATCATTAATGGAGGTGCTCAAGTCCCCTCCCCTAGGAACTCAGGAAAGGATGCTCCTCCATGCCTGGCCCTTCCAGATCCAGTTGTTCCTTTTTGCCTTCCAGATATCAGGAAGGTCTAAAGCAGACCAAAGAACTTCAAGGCCTGAAGGAAGAAGAAGAAGAACAGAAGAGTGAGAGTCCTGAGGAACCTGAGGAGGTAGAAGAAACTGAGGAAGAGGAAAAGGACCCGAGAAGCAGGTGGGAAGCTGTGTGTGGAGACCTGAGATTACTGAAAATGGATTATGCTTCATTTATTTGCTGAATTGCACAAAATCTCTGGAAATGTCAGCCCAGGGCAGTAGTAGGTCTGGGGCCCTAGCATGGCCAACAGAGAGACCAAGAGGGCACTCAAGATGGAGAGGTGGTAGAGGAAATTAAGTGCAAAACATAGTTCACAATGGAATATTTGCAAGAATTGAGGGGTCAGAGGTGGTCATGGGCAGGACAGACAGCAATCAAGAGCTCTTATAAGCTGAGAGAGAGTAAAGGATCCTGAATAGACTCCCTCCCAGCCTAGTCATGATCAGCTCATTTTTCAGCCTGACTCAGGAACAATCCAAAACCAAGGAAAGATTCAACCAAGAGGGTTCAGCCTGCCTGAGTCAACCTCATTGCTCAAGGGAAATGGCATCTAGGAGAGCTGGGGAAGTGCTTCCCCAAACACATGGCCTCTCCTGAAGGAACCTCAAGCAGCTGAATGCTGTTCTCCTTATGGCTCCTCCTTCTTGGGGGTCCTCTGATTTTATCTTTTAGGCCATCACACTGCCTTTCTTCTCTTTAATGTCATCAAGCCCAAGTCCGGACAAGCCCTTCCTTTGGCATCCTGAATACAGTGAAGACAGGCTAGAACTTCTAACGCTACCAAACACTGAGAAAAAAAAAAAAAGAGAGAGAGAGAGAAATAAACAGAGAGAGTACAAGGAATATAAACAGTCTGGTTTACAAAGCACAGGCAGGATTTATCTGGCTTATTTTGATCTCAGGCAATTGTCATCCCCCTTCCATTTCATAACAGGGGAAATAAGGCTTTGCCTGGCATCCATTTCTGCCAGCTGGTTATAAGTACTTGGCAATGACCACCTGTAGCATCCATCACTCAGGAGTGTCCTCTTGATCATCCTGATCCTGAGAGAGCTTGTTCTGTCTCCCAACTTCTGCTCACCCTTGGATTTGCTTTTTGATTTTGAGAATAGACCTGTTCATCAGGTGACAGATACCAGGCGTGAGCACAGCCCTCAGAAGGGTCTACGTCCTTCAGCACAAGGATGTAGCTTCAGCTTTTCAGGCCTAGCAGTGTGGTGTCATCTTCTCCATAAGGGCTGAAGTTGCTATCATATTAGCCTCAAGAGCTGTTGTCTTCAATGCCAGGTGATCCTTGTCCACCTGAGCCTCTTAGACACACAGTTGCCTGCAGACACCTGCTCTCAAACATGATCCGGTGGCCATGAAACTTTGGTACCTCACAAACAAGCCAGGTCAGAAGTTATTAAAAATTCCACGTCCTATTTTAGTGCATTTTAAAAACATAAAACCTAAGTCCAGCAGCTGGCCCCTTATAGAGATTCAACATGAAACACAAGTGTCTTTTTTTTCCTGAGTTTCTACTCTGTTATATGCCATAATGTAATCTGTTATAAGCATTGCTTTCTGGAGGATTGGTTTAAAAGAAGTGTGGGTGAATCAATCCAACATCTTAACAATATTCAAACAGAGAATACATCTGGCATTGATAAGACATTGAACAATTGAGACTTATGATATGTGACATGAAACTTTGTCTTTTTCCTGACATTTTTTCAAGTCACTCTACAAGGTTAAAATGATATTTAGACAGGTTCCTTTATTTTACCCTTAACTCTAAGAAAACAAGTTTATTTACAACAACCAAAAAATTGACTTCCGTAGGAATTCTTTTTCTAATCTAACTCTTTATTGTTGCATCTCAATTGTGCAGGATGATGGGTAATTTATTGTGGCATATTCATACATACATGAAAATACAATTTGATCATGCTAACCTAATTTAATCTCTGACTTCTCTTATAGACCAGAAATGGATAACTACCTAAGGGTCACAAAGTCAGGTCTTTTTTTTTGCTACTGGGGATTGAACCCAGTTGTGCTTTACCAAGGAGCTACATCACCAGTCCTTTTTATGCCTTATTTTTGGATCTCACTAAGTTGCTTAGAGCCTCTCTAAGTTACTGAGGCTGGCCTTGAACTTGCGGTCTTCCTGCCTCAGGCTCCTGAATTGCTGGGATTACAGGTGTGCACCACCAAAGCCAGGACTTAACCTCCTTTGTAGTCTCACTTTAATGTAGGGTTAGGGTGGGATTCTTCCCACTCTAGTAGCCTGTTTGGGGGCATGAAAATATAGCTCTAAAGAGTGACTCCATTTTGGCATTCGGTCATATCTTAATAGGATCAAAAGAATCTAAATAGGACTGAAAGGAAATAAGGCTTGCATTTCCAAGCTCTACCTTCTCAATAATTGTGAAAATAGCTAGTAGTTTTCATATCAGCCAGCATGCTCTTTTTTTATTGCCAAATTGTGCCTGAAATGATCTGATGGGGTTCTCACATGTACAAGAAACAAATCACTGTTCCCCTATGGCCTTAATATGGGAGGCAAACATTCTGAGCATTTGGCCCCTTTCTAAGGAGTTGAGTTTTTCAATTCATGGCAAGTTTTCCACTCTCTACTAACTCTGCCTGAGAGCTCCCTTCTTCTCAGCAACAGGCCTTCTGGTGGAAAATCAAGCTGCTTTTGAGAGCTTAGCACAGTTCTTCCTCTCTGGACACAGTTGGAGATGGAACTGAGAACAATGAGTTATGCTTCTTAGCACTGATGCAGGGTACAGGTTAGAACTTGGAACGGATAGCTAATAAAGCTAAGAGCAGTGGCATGCTGGTGCTATCTGATCCATGGGAGTATGGATCAGCCAACCTTGCACTCTGGGGCTCAAGAGAGTGCAGATATCAGTGATCATCCCATGAATAGATTAGAGCATGTGTGAATGGGTGAATAATCAAACAAGTAATAGAATGTTCCTGACCAGTAGCTCTCACCATCAATGCTATAGACCAGTGGTGTCAAAACCATCTAGGGAAATGTGACTATAGATTCCTAGACCATAACTCTGGAGATTCTAATTCAGTAGGCCTGAGGTATTTTGAAAAATTGCTGCCAAGATCCATGAATAGCTGAGAACCACTGCTCTGGATAGCATAGGAGGAATCCCCAGACAGAGAGCATGGGTCTGGGCATCATACATTGGCCCAATATACTAAGCCCTCCACCTGTTTTTTCATTGACAGCAAACTTGAAGAATTGGTCCATTTCTTACAAGTCATGTATCCCAAACTGTGTCAGCACTGGCAAGTGATCTGGATGATGGCTGCAGTGATGCTGGTCTTGACTGTTGTGCTGGGACTCTACAATTCCTATAACTCTTGTGTGGAGCAGGCTGATGGGCCCCTTGGAAGATCCACTTGCTCAGCAGCCCAAAGGGACTCCTGGTGGAGCTCAGGACTCCAGCATGAGCAGCCTACAGAGCAGTAGGAAACCTGATTCCTAGCCAATGCCCTGCTCCAAGACATCAGCCACCACCTTGTCCCCAAGTCTAGTGCATCAGGTTCAGGTCCATGGACGTCCTGCCACCCCTCCCGTTGGGGGATGAGGAGGGCTTCTCTTCACACTTGGCACCACTGTGGGAATTATTCAGACCACAGTAACTTGATGTTCTTGGAGGATCAACAAACCTGTTTGGAAAAGCATCTGGTGGATGAAAAAGTGACTGTCACCAAGGAAGTCTAGGCAAAGGGAAGGACTCCTGATCCTAGCTCAGATGGCTAGGGAGAATTAATACACCTTCACTGGGGGACAGTAAGAAGCTCACTCTCCCCTTTTCCTCTCAACAGTTGGGTACCAGGAAGAATTGTGCTGAACAGCTAACAGTGGCCCTAAGAGTCAGACCTAGAATTCCCAGTCACACGTGAATATGTTCCCAATTCCCATCTCATTTTCCATAACACTCCTTTGGCCTCTCCTTTTCCCCTTCAGAATCAGTTTCTTTTCACAGAATAGGAAAGGTTTCTCAGAAAAATGGACAGGCCGGATTTAGCTCAGTGCTTGAAATGAAATATGGGAAGATGCAAATCAAGGTCTGTGCATCTGTACACAAACACAACACCCACAACACGCGTGTGCACGAAGCCAACAACCCTCCAAAAGTGTGCTCTAAAGAAATACGATGCGTGTCAAGCCAACCCATAGATTTTCACTCAGTGTGGGGCAGTCACAGCACCTGTACAGTGAACTATCCACACAGAATGAAGATGTTTGAAAACTTGTGGCTTCTATGGCAGACTTTCTGGTCTCCATGTCAGATGCCAACTCTAAGCTGCTGTACAGCACAATCTGTTTCCTATTTGTTCTCTCCCTTTGAAAGTAGTTAACCCACCTCTCAAGTGAGCAAGGAGAAATGGTGTGCTTTTAGCTTCAAGCTTTCGCTCTAGGGGGGCCACATGCAAGGGGGAAATTGCACTTTTGGGCTTCCGTTGCAACAGGATTTCCAAACCTCGCATACGCTCCAGAGCATTCCCAATTGTTCAGCACAGAGCTGAAGGAGCAAATCTCCAATTTGATGTCACTCCCCCCCTTTTCAGCCACTGCCTTCATCAGCCCTCATCAGTTTGGTGGTAGTGGTGGGTGTTGGCTTCAGTATGGGTTCTATGTGGTTGCCTTAGGTTTTGTTTGCTATTATTTACTTTTGCAGCCAACATTCATATAGAACTTACTCTGAGCCAAGAACTATTCTCAGTATTATTTGAGAATATTAATTCGTTTAGTCCTCAAGGGGGAAAAAAAACCTCTGAGATGGATATTATTCTTTCCATTTTCAGATAAGGAAACTAAAGCACAAAAAAAGGTAAATAACTTGTTAAGAACAAACAGTAAATCATGGAGCTAGCTCTCCAAACAGGGTGGACTGTTTCCAGGGACTGTACCCTTAACCCCCCGCACTATATTGCTTCTCCAGTGGTCTCCTAGCTGGATGCCTGTCCTTCCAATCTCACTCACCCAATTGGTCCTTCAGCTCTTCCAAGGCACCTCTGCTTCCCAAACTATGGCTGTTTCCCAAACTATTGATTCCCAAATTATGCTGTTCTAGACCTTCAGTGATTAGTTTTTCTCTTGCTGTTATTTTCTTTTGTTCACTCTTTAGGGCCAAGTGCAAAAATCGCCCCTCCATACAGGCTTTAATGACCTTTTTCCCACACTCTCCCTACACCCAAAATAATGGTTCATACCCTCTGTGCTTTCTGGCTCTTAAGTATTTTCATTATTTACCTATACCCACCATCTATCACCATAATTTATTTCTATTATCTGTTCCTCCAAGCATTTTTCCTCAAAGACAAGAACCATGTCTTACCCATCTGTTGGGTAGGTACCTAACATGGTGGCTGATGCTTGGGAGGGGGTCATTAAATTTTGGTCAAAAGAAGAAGTGGAACATTTAAGGTGGTGGAGAGCACCCTGGGACTGCTGAGATTTTTGCAGTTTTCCCAGTACCAGCACCAGCACCACCTCCATCTCTACGAGAAGAGTCACATTTTTGTTGACCTGAGCTTGTTTTAATATTTCTCAGGCTATTCTGTGAAGAGCAGGAATGCAATCAGGCTAGCAGCAACACTGTTTCCAAGTTCAAGGATGGGCTCAACACAATCACTCCCTTCAAATAGTCACCTTTAGTCTAGACCCCACTTTAAAACTGCATGTTTATTGAAGGGGGTGTCCTTTACAGTGGCTGGAAAATGACTGAGAGAGAAGCCCAAACCAGGGTTGACCAAGGATGTGCCATTAAGGTAAAGAGGTACAGACAAAGTGGAGGGACTTTGGAGACATGGGTGGATGGTTTACCTGGCCTCTTCCAACAGGCACAGATACAACTGAAGAAGCTTTAGTTACACAAGGCCCTCAGAGCCAAAGGCAGGCTGTGAATGGAGATCCAGAGAGAACAGCTGTAGAACAAGACTCTAAATGGCCAACATCCAATCTCAGCCCCCCATAAAAAAGGACTAGGCTGAGTTGGCCCATTGCCCACTTGGCATAAGGTTCCCATCCCTGTTTCCAGGTGAGATAAGGCAAGGAGAGCTGGTGCTGATAGCTTCTGCACCTCCAGCTTCCCCTACAGAAAGGCCCTCAGAGAACTTCAGACACAAGCCCTCGCCCACAATACTCCATTTGTGAGTAAGGAAAGTTGAGGAAGAGGACGCTCCAAACGGGAGCATAAGAGTAGCCATATTTACATAGGCATGGCTGAAAAAGTACTCATCAGTCTGTTTTTTTCTGGAAGCAAAGATCAACCTGAAGTAGTTGTATCTGCTGCCAAAGCAGTTGTGAAAGGGAAGAAGACCTGTATTTCTAATATGACATTGATCTGAAATAAAGTTCCCCTCAAAATGCCTCTGACATTGCTGCTGGAGCCTTAGATGTCTGGTTGCCTACCTTCAGTTACAAAGTGATGTGTGGTTTGCATCATTGTTGACCTCACCTCCTGAAAGTCCTTCACTTTCTGGCTGCCGCAAAGTTGTGTGTGCTGCTCCCCATGAACAGCCTGGCAGAGTCAAATGGGAAGGGAGACGCTGGATTTGTGTATCACTGGCTGTCAGTTGCTAATGTTGTTAAGCCTCACACAGGTGTGCTAGCATTGAACTATAAAGTGTCACATACCTGAGTTTGAAAAATAAAAGCACATTTCTAAACCTTTGGCAGCAGCCAAATGCCTCTTCATTTTATGGAGTGGAGCCACAATCTTATTCCAAACCTGAACAGGATTCCTTTGGATATGAGTTCCTCCCAGAACCAAGCCAGAGGTCCCCAGCTGTGTTAGTCAGCTTTTTTATCACTGTGACTAAAATACCTGACAGTAGCAACTTAAAGGATTTAAAGGAGGGAAGTTTTATTTTCAGCTTACAGTTTCAGAGGCTCAGTACATGGTCAGCAACTCCACTGCTCTGAGCCTGAGGTGAGGCAGAACATCATGACAGAAGAGTGTGATGGAGAAAAGCTACTCAGCTCAGGGCGCCCAAGAAACAGAGAGAGGGGAGAAGTCAGGGGAGCAAGATATAATCCCCAAGGGCACACTCCCAGAGACTTACTTCCTCCAGCCACACCCCACCTGCCTACAGTTACCACCCTGTAGAATAATTCTTTCAAATTATTAATCTATCAATAATTCATCAATTGATTAGGTCACAATTCTCATATTCATTTCACCTCTGAACATTCCTGCATTATCTATCACATAAGCTAATTGAAGAACATCTCATATCCAAACCATTAAGGCAACCATTGGGTCATTGTAATATGAGTTTACCTCACAGGGGCTGGATCAGTTCCTGTCCTTCATTCTTTGCCCATTCCTGGTTCTAGTTTCCTGTTTCTTCCTCGTATATGATTTTTTTCATTAATATATTTTACTATGTGATAGAAAAAGTTTTCACCAACCCTATTTCCATTTTCTTTTTTTAAATTTATATATGACAGCAGAATGCATTACAATTCTTATTACCCATATAGAGCACAATTTTCGTAACTCTGGTTGTATACAAAGTATATTCACACCAATTCATGTTTTCATACATGTACTTTAGATAATAATGACCATCACATTCCACCATCATTTCTAACCCCATGCCCCCTCCCTATCCCTCCAACCCCTCTCAGGGGAATGTGGACCATGTGGATCTAGTGTCCTAAAAACAAATTCTTCTGCCTAATATTCCACACTTTGTTCATTCTCTTTTCTACTGCTCAAAATCAGAGGATTCTGAGGAGGCGTCTGAAGCCTGATAAGATAAGCAGAACCCCTGAATGGAGCAGGTCTCTGATGCGTACTTACAACATCAAACTGTGACAAGAGTAAGAAGTAAAAGTTTAGTGTGTTAAGCCACTAAAAATCAAGAAAGTTTGTTACAGCAACTTACCTATCCTGAAGAATGTATATATTTGTACCTGAAATAGGGGTGGTTTAATAATAAAATTTTAAAATTTGAGAAAGTGGTTTAACAGTCAAGTATTAAACAACAAGCTAATTTGGGGAGCTGGAAAGATAATGGCCCATGTTGTGAATAAAACAAAAACATTTGGTGAAGTCCTACCCATGATAATTTGAAAGGCATTCCATGGGTACCTTATAATTCTAGAAGAAGTGAGTGGAAGAACAGAAGCATTGGAATATGTGAGCCTCTATTGTCTGCCTTTGGCAAGCTATTTCAAGAAAAGGTAGCACTTGCGGTGCTGGGATTGTGGTTCAGTGGTAGAGCACTTGCCTAGCATTTGTGAGGCAATGGGTTCAATTCTCAGCACCACATGTAAATAAATTTTTTAAAAGGCCCATCAACAACTAAAAAAGTAACTTAAAAAAAAGAAATAAAAGACCAAAATAAAAAAAAAAAAGAAAGAAAGAGAAGCACTTAGGAAAGAATTGCCTATTTTGAAGCAGAAATAAAAAACAATATAGAGAACTTGTAGGGACTTAAGGGTTAGAAAACCTGATTCCTTCTATATCCCAAACAAACTAAATACAAGTTAGAGAGAAAAAGAACCACTAAAATGTCTCAGTTGAACAGACCAACTTAGCCTTATGGAAAAGAATAGATGCAGGATGTGGCTCTCCCATTAGTGGTTCCAAACGAAGTTAGGTTAGCCACAAGAAAGTATTGGGACAGGTAAAGCAGAAACAGATTTAGAAAATAATCCTGACAGAGGATTTGTGCTATGATTATTGGCACATGGAAGAAAATATATCATAAATCTATATTTGTGAGGGAATCATATTTACAAAGAAACATAAGCCAGAACTGAAAACCTCTTCAGAAAACCACCACTGAGATCCAGCGCTTAGGCCAGTGAGAAGGTGTGCTCCATAATAGCAGCTTCAAATAAGGCCAATAAAGATATATGATGAAAGGCCTCCTAGAAAGAAAACAAGGGCCACAGAGATCAGTGGACACTGGAATTTCAAAGTAGAATCGGGAGCTAATCAAGGGCAGGTCACGGTGGTAGGCAGAATTTCTAAAATGGGTTCCCAAAGATGCCCCACCCCAATCCCTAGAGCATTTGAAAATGAGATATAACTCTTTAAGTTATGTCGTAACTTTCACATTATATGGTAAGTTGAACTTAACATAGAAGATTATCCAGGTGAGCTCAGTGTAGTTACATGAGCCTTTCAAAGCAGAGAGCTTGCTCTGTTTAGGAGTGGAAATTGGAGAGATGAGAAGGACTGAAAAACTCCTTCAATTCTGCAAGCTAAAAAAATCACTGTTTTGAAACTGAAGGGCCTCTGGGAAATCAGGATCTTATTTCTATAAACTCAAAGAAATGAATTCTTCCATCAACTTGAATGAATTTAGAAGTGGATTCTTCCCCAGCATCTCCAGTAAGAGCCTACCCCAGCTGATATCTTGATTTCAGTCTGGTGAGAACCAGAGCAGAGCTCAGCTACAGCCCACCCAGACTCTGAGCCACAGGAACTATGAGATAATAACTGGGTGTTGCTTTAAGCTTCTAAATCTGTAGTGATTTGTTATGCAGCAATAGAAAACTGATATGACTGTGTTAATGTACTTTTCACCATCATAATGAAAAATCTGACACAGACTACTTATGAAGAAAGTTTATTTTGCTCACAGTGCTGGAGGCTTAAGGGCAAGGTGCCTACGTAAGCTTATTTCTGGTGGAGACCTCTTGGTGAATGGCAGGTGGCAATGGCAAGAGTGTGTGTTGGAGCATGTCTGTCCAAGAAGCAGAGAGAAAGGACGGCAGGGCCAGGCTTGCTTCTTACGTAACAACCCGCTCAGGAGAACTACCCAAAGGCGTTGCATGAGAAATGCCTTACATACCCAGTGTCCTAAGGACCTCCCAAGGGACTCACTACTTCCCAAAATAGTACATCTTGGAGACCAAGCCTTTAATCACAATGGATCCTTGGGGAACATTCAAATCACATCCAGCCTATAAAAATGACCTTGATAGTATACCTTCATTGGTAGTCCAGAATACTATGGCCTGCTGACTGCTGTGACTCCCATTCTTCCCTTCACCCCTGGGAAATTTTATTGAGGCCATCCTGTTTTACAATCACATTGGGGCACGGGGGTAGTATATAACTTGCTTAGTTCATAGGTCACCAGACAGCAAAGTGCCACTGCCAAACCTGATAGGGAAGACTGAGCATAACAGATATCGTGTACTTTGAGCAGGATATAACCTTGGATTTCCTCCTTTGAGACTAGAGTACCGTATTCTCCATGGGGGGAGGAACAGCAAAGCCAATATTAGGTGATCGGAAGAACCAACTGTAGCAGAGACCTCTCTGTTCACCAAATTGTTTTTCCTTTTACTCCTGAGCACATAGCTAGATAGAACTCCTTTGCAGTTAGGTACAACATGTTACATACTTTCGGCCAATGGACTATTGGTGGGAATTATATATCCCAGGCCTGTGACCTAAAACAATTTCCAGCACCATCCTCTGCACTCTCTTTCTTTGGTTGCTGGCTCTATGTGAAGATCTTGGAGAAAACCCAGAAGTACTACTAGGTGATAATAGAGCTACTCAAAGACTGGTGGCAGGACCTTCAGCCTCTAAATAACTGTGTGGGAGTATCTCTCCACCAAACAGACACCAAGCATTACCACCATCACCATGTATCAGCCATTGGATTGTGACATGAAAGAAATTCTTAATTTATTAAGCCATTGAGATTTGGGGATGTTTGTTATAGCAGTTAGACTACACTAATGCTTTTTATTTTGATACTAGGGATTGAACCCAGGGACATTTAACCACTGAGGATCTCACTAAGTTGCTTAGGACTGCACTAAGTTGCTGAAGCTGGCTTTGAATTTGTGATCCTCCCACCTCAGCTTCCCCAGCCAATTACAGGGATTACAGGTGTGCACGACTGTGCCTGGCTAATACATTTTTTAATGATCCTTGTAATATCAGGTACCTTAGAATTATATTATTGTGTTATTTCTAAATTCATATAATTCAGTTTCCTTCTTTGACAGATAACAAACTAACAGAGAAAAATTATTGACTTACTCAAGGTTACATAGATTATGAGTGTTAGAACTTAAACTAAAATGAAGATATTACCCTAGATCCAGTACTCTGGGTCTTACCAGTACTTCTTTGTGTCACATCTCATTTTTTACTGTTTAAATTAGTATTTTCATGTGTCAGATTAAATAGGTAATCGAAGGTCTCATCTGGCTCCAAGTCCATGACCTCTGGGATGGGCTCAGTCCCTATCAGGCCTGGCGGTGGCACTTTGTGGTCTGGTGACCTACAGACTTTTACTCTTGTTTTCCATATGCAGAGAATAAGAAAATCGGCCTGGGTATTCTGTATTTCCTGCTTTCTTTTGAAATTTCGTGGTTGTCCTTTTTATTTTCCTTTATTTTGCACATCTAATTGGGCAACTTTCTTCTTTATGGATTCTCCTTGATGACAGTGTAAACTTCTACCTACAAGTAGACAGTGCTGCTGGTTCTATTTCCTTATCCTGAACACTCTCTCTCAAAATGGTGAAGAGAGATTCTCTGGCAACATTTTCTTTATGCCTCTCCACTAGAGCTTTTTAGCTCTTGACAACAAATTCTTTCAGAACTTACCATAAGTGGAAGATCTAGAAACAGACTGAACATATTCTCACTTAACAAGAGAGGCAGCAAGTTCTGACAAAGAATTTCCAATTACCTTCCAATGGCAGCTTAACTTCTCTCAAAGGAGGTATATATATATGTATTTTTTTTCTTCCCTTCCAGAAACTGATGATTAAGCATCAGCACAATTATGCAGACTCCCTTTATCCAATAATTCCCTTTCTGTATATTTGTTTCAAAAATCAAGTGTCTTCCAAAAACCAAATTATGGAACCAGCCTAGGTGTCCCTCCACAGATGAATGGGTCAAGGAAATGTAATTTATATACACAATGGAGTTTTATTCAGCCAAAAAGAAAAACGAAATTATGTAATTTGCAGGAAATTGGACAGAATTTGAGACCATTATGTTAAATAAAATAAGTCAAACTCAGAAGATTAAGGGTTATATGTTTCCTCTCATATGAGGAAGTTAGAGAGGAGGAAGGAAAAGAAAGATGGGGTGGGGGATATCTCAGGAAAATCGAAGAGAGATAGTAGAGGAAAGGAAACGGGGTGGGGGCAGGAGGAGGGAAGAAAAGGGGGAAATACCGCAGAGTGCTACAGGCAAATGACATTATTATATTGTATGCACATACTAATATTTAACAACAATCCCATCATTATGTATAACTATAATGCACAGATAAAACATGGGGTGGGGGGAATCAAGTGTCTTCTCATTTCTCATAAGCTATTTCACCCATGCTTACCCTGCATAATTCATTTTTCCCCCTTACTATTTTATTTCCTTTTCCCTTTTTGTAACAGTTTAACAAATTCTTAAAAACTAGCTATCTTTCTAGGCATGGTGCTGGATGTTAAGGACAATTCTGAAGAGGTCATGATTCTCTCTCTACCTGTCTACCTGCCAATGCAATGAGAGGAACATATGTTTTCTAGGTACTAGGAGCCTAGGACTTGTGCTCACCTGAGGAATGAGTCTATATTGCAAATATTTAGGGGCAATTTCCCTGGTCTCTTGGAAGTTGCCTGCATTTGTGCAGAACAGATTCTTTTTTCATTATTTTTTTTTTCTGCACACAGATATCTAACTTCATGGCCAGTACCACTTCTATAGAAAAGAACTTGTCATCCATACCCTTCATATAAAAGACATTCATTTTGGAGAAAAGTTATGAACTTTTGCTCAAGGCATTGCTTGCAAGTCAGAACTTCATAATTGCCATGGAGGGCAAACCACTGAAAACTGCTGGGAAAACATCGAGTACTCTCACTTAAATACAGAACAAATACCCCTCACATTCCTCAAGTGAGAAGGGAGAGTCTAAATTAGAATTTGGTCCACTAGTGTATAATAGAAATTATTCAAGAGAAAGCAAAGTTATATAAAGAACTGCTGTGGTGATCACTATTGTAAAGTCAAAAATTCTTTTGTGAAATGTAAAATGACTAACTTTGTAAATTGCCCCCTAGTTGTGTTTCAGAGATATGAATTTTTATGTGTGTCTGATTTCTTTGAAAAAGGAATCCCCTGTAGTAGCATTGAGATTTCCAATGTATAAAAGAAGTCCCAAAGGAAGGCATGGGATTTAAGTGGGAATTTACTTTCATCATTTCCCCCGCACATTATAAGGCGATGCTGCTGAGAGGAAAAAAAAAAAAAATCACTGAGAGGAAAGAAGCACACCCACGCTCAATCTCCTTCTGACAGACACATTCCTATGAGTGTGTGAATGAATGGGCTCCACAGCAATAACAACGAATGGTGTGAGAACTGAGCCCACAGGGGAGGGCAAGTGGCAGGGAACATGGGAATTAGGAAAACCGTCGGTAGCTCACCCTGTGCTCTCTGCCTTCCTCATTCGTGTGTTTTCTGAGTCAGCATTAGCTAAATTTTCCAGAAAGCCATCCACAAAGTACAGCCTGGACATTCAAAGGACGTCACTCATTTCCCCCAGTGGCCTTGACAAGTCAGGAGCTTGAAAGCAGGGAAATCCGGATGTCTCAGCTATGAAGTGGAGCAGTGGCCTCAACATATTTCCAGAACCCTCCATCCAGCCTGGTGATTGAGCTGCTGCCTCCCTTGCTGCCAGTGGTCACCTGCAGTGCTTCCCTGGCTCTGAGGGGTTTGCACAATGGCCAAGTGCTTCAGCCTGGTGTTGCTTCTTGCTTCCATCTGGACCTTGAGGTTTCTGGCCCAAGGCTCTGTCAGAGTACAAGGTAGGTTTCTTACCAGATTTCCAAACAGAAGCGAGGCAAGGTCTTGGAAACTGTCCTAAGCCCACTGGGCTCTTGACTAAGGACTACTGACTGGGAATGAGGGCAACACTCAGGGGTCACAGAAGATCTAATGATAGGATGGCTCAGCCAGAAGCGAGCAATTGACCATATTGTCAACTTCACCCACATGATTATGTTTGCCTTGATATCCCTTTGAATATTATTTTGGTTATGGCATATTTTAATAACAATATGTATAAATAAAACATGGAGGATAAATAATTTGTTCTTAAAAGTGTTTCATTCAAGAAGCAAACTATGACTATAGAAAATTTGAAGCAATTACTAAAAAATGGGTAACTGTCACTAAGTATTGTCCTATTTTGTGTTTTTAGAAGTATTGGCAAAATTATTTTAATTCCAAGTACATCATGCTATACATTAAATACTATGTATTAATATGCATTGAATTTAATATGCGGGAAATTAACTGAAAAAAAATTTGTGAAAATGTAAGTTTAAAAATTCACCGTCAGCTCCCTTCCAAAGGAATGACTTAAAGTGATTTCTGGGCTTTTGGGATGTCTAAATGGAAATTTCATTCTGCACTGTAGGCAAAAAATTGTAACCACAAATCACTTATTACAGCTCTGGGCAAATGAAAATCTGAGCACTTTTATTAAAGGGAAAATAGTTTTTTCCTCTGTTGGAAGATGCCACAAGATATAAAATATAACTGTGAGAGACACTTGGAATTGACTCATATATTGTACTTTAATTTCATAAGGGAGTTTAGAGTTCTATGATTGATATTTGCCGCCGCCTCCCAAATATCAGAACAGTTACTTGGGGTCTTTTTGTATTGTACTGAGTATTGAACCCAGTGTTGCTTTACCAGTGAGCCACATCCTCAGCCCTTTTTTAAAAAAATTTTAAGACAGAGTCTCACTAAGGAACTTATGGCCTACTAAGTTGCTGAGGCTGAACTTGAACTTGTGATCCTCCTACCTCAGCCTCCTGAGTTGCTTGGATTACAGGCTTGCACCATCATGCCTCACCAGAACAGTTACTTTTACTAATTTAGATACTGGGAATTGAACCCAGAGGTGCTTTATCACTGAGCCACATACCCAGCCCTTTTTATTTTTTATAGCTCACTAAGTAACCTAGGCTGGCCTCAAACTTGTGATTCTCCTACCTCAGCCTCCCAAATCGCTGGGATTACATGCTTGTGACACTGAGCCCAACAGAAATGTTACTTTTTTTTTGGTGGGAGAGGGTACCGGGGATGGAGCTCAGGGGCACTTGGCCGCTGAGCCACATCCCTAGCCATATTTTGTATTTTAGATTCAGGGTCTCACTAAGCTGCTAAGCATCTCACTATTGCTGAGGATGGCTTTGAACTCACTATTCTCCTGTCTCAGCCTCCCAAGCTGCTGAGATTACAGGCATATGCCATGGCTCCTAGAGAAATGTTTCTTTTAAATAAGCTTGGTCCTTTTTGAAATTGCCCTGGGGAGACTTCACTTGTCCCCTCAATGCCGCCATTATTCCAACTATTTGGGAAATCATGCTAAAACAATGACTCCATTGCACTCTGTGCACCGTCCTCAGTGATGACAAAATTTTCCTAAGGAAATTAACTGTTTGGAAGCAACTGAAAGTACCTTAACCACAACTGTGGAATCAAGAGGTGATGAAGGTGAGTGATGGTGATGAAAACTTTTCTGAAGGTCTATTATGTATTATAGAAGGCTTCATTTAATCCTCTCAAGAACACATTTTATGAATAAATAAACAGCAGTCCCACCAAATGTTATGCAGGAGATAAATGCTAAAACTTGGGGTTGAAATCAGCTCTGATTTCCAGGTACATTTTTACTGTTTTCTAAGAAATATTTAAGGAAGGGGCTAGCAGAGTGCCTCTTAGATTCCAGCTCCCTATTTTTATATCTAAATGAAATAGGAAAGCATGAAATTGCTTAATATTTGTTGACTGCTTTCTATGGATCCAGTCTCTGTGAGGTAAAAGTTATCTCATTTAATTCCAAATAAAAATCCTGGGATAATGTAGCCATCTCCATTTTACAGACAAGAACACTAACTTGTCCAAGGTCCTAAGGACCAGTTAACAACAGAAGAAATTTCTAAAGCCAGGTCTATTCGCACAAAATAGGTCTATCATTTATCTAAATAATAGCATTACTCTAAATAGTAGCAAGACCACTTTATAGTGTAACAAAGACTGTCTCTGAAGTCAATTTCCAAAGAAGCAATGATAAGATGTCTGAGCAATAGCAAGCTTATATGCCAAAGGAGCCAAATTCAAGGACAAGTGGACAACTGTCTGTGAATGTGTGTTTGTCTGTCTCCCTGCAGTAAAGTGGAAGGCAGAATCTGCCCCCAAGTTTCTTATGTCCTTGGGTTTAGAAAAGACACTTACACAAGTTTTAAATTTTCTCTTAAAAGAAGCAGGGTTTAGCACAGAATAATATCAACAGATGATAGGTGTGGAAATTACTATTGATTTTAGTATTAATATCAGCATTGGCATAGGCATGAACATCAGTGCATACAGTCATAGGTTGCTTTGTGGCCCCAGGCACAAACATTGGTATTAGGGTATTGACTTTCTGGTCTCTCTTGGTGACAGCAGAATCTGGATGCAAACAAGGCCACTTGCAAATACACATCCCTTCCTCTAGCCCCTGCTTCAGAACACAGCAAGATCACACAAAGGACTTAGAGATGTTCCTTCTATGTTTACAATAAGAAATTTCCTTTAAATACCAACCTAGAAAGTGATGGAGACATTTCTGCATCCACCACATAGAGCTCTCTGAACAACCAATTACTTGGGAGATTAAAATGCCCTTTGATGCCTTTTTTTCGATGAAGCCCAATAGGAATAATGTACTTGAATATAGTGCAACATGGTAATTTTATATGGTCTATAAATCCAAGAACCTAGAGGGAAAGGGTCAAATCAGTTCCCAAGTCCATTAGATTTTGGGTAAAAATATTAGCTACATCTTAACAGTTCATCTGCCTCAGCTGCCCCAGGAAGATCAATTATTAAACAGACTAAAACCAAAATGCTTTGAAGATGACATAACGGTGACGTTATCTATGATTACATATCAGTACCTACTTTATGGTAGGCACTATGCTAAACATTTTTACTAGAAATTCATTCACGTGATTCTCACTACCCTATCCAGTAGATCCTGTAACTGTCCATATTGTAAATAAGGAATCTGAAGCTCGAAGACATAAAGTAACTAGCCTGAAGTCACAGAGCTAGCAAGAAGCTTAGACTAGTTCCAGCCCAGGTCTGACTCTAAAATTCTATTTCCTTTATTTAGTTTCTCTGCCATGCAAGATTTATTGCCCAGGAACTCCAGGAACTTCTGAGTAAGCCTGCCCCCCAATGGTCAGAGAAGACCTGGAACCGAGAGAGCCCACATTCTGTTAAAATGAATGCAACATTTTCAGTCTATTTCAGAAATAGTGGTGTCCCCAACTACATTGATTGGGAGCATTGCTAATATTAATAATTATTCTATTAACCCAAGGCCTGAATTCGGTCTTTCCCAAAGCCTCAGAGGCTTCATTTTACAGAGTCCAAAAAGATTGGCAGCAGCTCTATTACCTAGACCACACCCCAGGAGCTAGCAGCCAAAGTCCCCATGCAATGAATGAGGTACCTTAATAGAGATGGATAGGATGGATTTGGATCTGGTGAGATTTGCAGCTTGAACCAGAGCAAGCATCCATCTAACCCAGCAGGCTGTCCTTGTAGGAAACTCCTGTTATTTCTAAATTCAATCCCAGCCCCCTGACCTACTGCCACAGCACAGTAACAATTCTCTTGCGAGAAGGAGAGCCTAAGGTGTGGGGCAAGGGCAAAGCACTGAGCACCTATGTGATTTCCCTGCAGAGCTTTCCATCTCACTGCCGTGCAGAATTCTGGGGGTCACCCTCGTGAACAAAAAGGTACATCGGCAGATGAACTTCACAGAAGCCAAGGAGGCCTGCAGGCTGCTGGGACTAACTTTGGCCAGCAAAGACCAGGTGGAAGCAGCATGGAAGTCTGGCTTTGAGACCTGCAGGTGAGGAACGACTGGATTCACTAATGCGGCTGGAGCTCCTTTGACACTGTGTTCTTATTCGGCACTAGACATGGTGCTTTCTAATCCTTTGTCCATTCAATGAGTGTGTTCTTTTCCAGTTATGGGTGGATTGGAGAAGGGTACACGGTCATCCCTCGGATTCTCCCGAACCCCAAGTGTGGGAAGAATGGGATAGGCGTCCTGAGTTGGAAAGTTCCGGTTAGCCAGACGTTCAGGGCCTATTGTCACAACTCATCTGGTGAGTCCACCCTGCAGCCTCTCCATGTGGCATGTCCTTTATGGGTATCTACAGCTCTGTGGCCTGTTTGGGAAGAGTAACCCTGAGCAGCAATAGAAGCAGCCATAGCAATGGTCAGCCAATTCTCCTAAGACTGTCTCTGACTGAGCTCATGGGGGCAGTGTGCCCCCCAGAGCAAAAATTAGGGGAAAATGACTGAAAGGCAGTCTAAGAAGAGAGCATCCCAGGAGACTCAATTATTATCTCTACCACCCCTGCTTCCTATAAGATAAACAGGAAGAAGGGAAGGAACCAAATGTCACATGTATGTGACCCATTCACTGTGGATGAAGCATTATGCAGGTTAGTTGTCTCCGAACCTCCACAGCTGCCCTGTGAAGGTTTTATCATCCTCAGTTACAGGATACAGAAATTCAACCCAGAGGGTGTAAAAACATCTCTAAAGTCTCTCTATTAGTAATTTTCTGTTACTGTAATGAAATACCTGAGGGCTGAGTACTTTATAAAGAAAGGAGGCTATTTAGCTCACAGTTCTGTAGATTCAAGGACATGTTGCCAGCATCAGTTCAGCTCAGGGAATTCTTTGTAGAGAATGGCTTCCCAACGGTGGGAATGCTTATGTGAGAGAGAGATCAAATGACAAGCCTGCAAACCAAAGCCTGATCCAGGATGGCAACCCTCTCTACCAGGTTCCTAGGAGAACTGTATCTGTTCCTTTAAAAGGCTGTTACCCTTAATGACTTCCCACCTGGCTCCGCCTCTTAAACGACCCACCACCTCTTAACATCATCACACTGAAGACCAAGCTTCCAACACCTGAATCTTTGGGGATTCTCTCAAACCACATTCAAACTATAGCAGTCTCACCCCTATAAAGGTTCAAACTCAGGTCTAACTCTGACACCTTGCTCTTTCCACTGTTCCACACCTGAAGAGAGGAAATGCAGATGCAACGTTTGACATTTTTAAGAACAAACACAATCTCCATTTAATGACAGAAGGAATTGAATCCCAACCAGTCTAGTAGTCAATTCTCAGAGCATTTTCCCTTAAATCCCTACTTGCTCTCAATTGCCCTAGGAACCACTGTCTGGCCCATTACTTTTCACACATACTCAGATAGTTGACCCTCAGATTAGGTGCTGAGTGGTCCCATACAGGATAGATTTTAAATTCATTCCCTAAGTTCCATGAGATAAATGTTCACCAACCAACATGAGCAAAACCCCAGAAAGGCAGTAGGGAAGACAAGCAGTTAGTTCCCTGAACCTGGGAAAGGCCCTCAGGGCACCTTGTTCAGTTCCCTCACATCATGGATGAAATGACCATGGTTCAGACTGGGGGCAGCACAAATCTGCAGTTAGTGGTAGAGCCCGGCTGGAGCACAGGGCTTCTTCCAACATTTTTTCACCACCGTCCTTCTGTCCTCTGTCTCGTCAGCCTGTCATGGTTGGCTAGGGAATTGGCCATTGACATGCCTGCTTGTCTCATATCCAGCCCATGCCTGTCAAACAGCCTTGTAGCTGCCTTGCCTTCCCGCCAGCTGTCAACGTGACAGTATGAAACCCAGGCCTCTGACTCGGATTCGTCTGTTTACCCATGGTTTCCTTTAACTTGTTCTCTCATCCCCTTGGTTCCTGCATACATCCATCCATCCTTCCTTCTACATTTGTTAGCTGGCATCTGTTAAGCCAAAGGCTTGATTAGACTCATATTCAATATTTTTTGGCAAACATATTTTATAGATGATAATATCATATTGTGTATTTTGGATCACATCACAATAAAAGGCACTTAATGTAATTATGTCCCATTTTTAAATTATGCTTTGATCATTTAATTAAGATGGTGACTGCCAGTTCCCTCTAATGGAATTATAATGATATGTCTTCCCTTTTGTAATTAATAGATAATCTATAATGTGATATTTTTGCACCATGAAAATAGGTGGACCCACAAATTGCCTTTTACCTAACAGTTTAACCAATCATTGATAAGCTTTGCTGGAATCAGTTATTATGTAGGGAGCTGGAAAATGATGATTTTTCTAAATCTATCCTTCCTTCTACATTTATTAGCTTGGCATCTTTGATAAAGAAGAATCTCATTGGGCATGGTGATGCAAGCCTATAATCCCAGCTACTCTGGAGACTGAGGCAAGGAGGATTGCAAGTTCAAAGTCAGCCTGGACAACTTAGTGAGAACCTAACTTAAAGTTTTAAAAAAGTGCTTGGGACATAGCTCAATGGTAGAGCATGCCTTGATTCAATTCCCAGTACCACACACAAAGAAAAGGAGAACTCCCTAAGAGGAAGAACTCTCTCTCTCACACACACACACAGACACTTACATGCACTTTCTCTCTCCAACTTATACTACCATGACACATTATTCATAATGCTCTCAATGTTATAGTCAATCTTACAATTATTATTCTTATGGATGTTCAAATTGTCCCAATTCTGGCAAGTGTGAGCACATTCTAGTTCACTATTGTGTCCTCTATCCTATTTTTGCTAATATATTTAATTTTTTTTTTTTTTTTTGCTATACTGGGGATTGAACTCAGGGGTGCTCCACCTCTGGGCTACATCCTCAGCCCTTTTTATTTTGAAACAGGGTCTCATTATGTTGCCCAGGCTGCCCTCAAATATGCAATCCTCCTGCCTCAACTTCCTGAGTCACTAGGATTACAGACATGTGCCCCTGCAGTGAGCTTATCCTATTATTTTTTGAGTAATTCCTTGCTCCCTGACACTATGATGTATCCCAGGCTCACTTTGTACTTTCTCTGTCCCAAATGAGAGAACAGCTACTCATTTCTACAAAGAACCTAATTCTTTTTAGTGGAGAATGTTAACTAGAAACCAAGATCTGCATATAGGTTGTTCTCATTACTACTAAAGTTTCCATTGCTTCTTGGTCCTTTTTGAATGAGCAGCTAGGAATGTCATATATATATGACTCATAATTTTAAATATACATATATAAATTATAAGTTTATATTGATAATTTCAGCTCAAATTTAATAATGTATTATTTCTTATTTTACTTTTTAAATATTTGTATCTCTTTTTTCTTTATTGAAAATCTTAGTTCCTTGTAAACTATATATTTTATTATCCTACAAGTTTCAAAATTATAAAACCAATATCATCAAGAATAACAAACCTACTGAGTGGAATTTAAGATTTCTTTGCAAGTCTTTTAGTCCTTAGAACAAATCCTTGCAAAGAATGTCATCAGTGACTTATGTACAAAGGTGACTTGGAAAAAAAATCTCTATTCTATAAGGTTGTATTATCATTTTTAAATAAGGTAAGTTCACTTGTATCTGACTGTGATCATTTAGAGTTCAACTTTTTTTCCTGTGTTTTTTAAAATAGATAAAACACTTACATGGTTCGATGGCCCAAAATATTCTTTTTAAAAGTACAGTCAGAGAATTCTTCCTCCTAATCTTTCCACACTGTTTCCACTCACCATTTGGGTTTCTGGTTTATCGCTGATTGTGTGTATAAAGGGAGCATGTGCATACATGTATTTGTATGTGTGTGTGTGTGTGTGTGTGTTTTGTTTCCCCTTTCTTTCTTACAAAAAACGAATATACTATATACACTACTCTTCACAGAACTTTTTCATCTAAATTCTAGAAATTACTTCATATCTGTTCATAGAGATATTTCTCATTTTAATGGCTACATAGTACTCTACCGGCTGATTATAGCATAGCTTATTCAGCCCCTCTCCCATTGATGGACATTTGGGCTGTTTCCAGTCTTCCTAAGGTCTAAGTTTTAGGATTCCAGATATTTCTAGATTCTCCTTTTTCTGTGCAATTGCAATAAGCTCTTCCTTTGCCCCTGGATTGGGCTGTCTCCCTCTACATTTCATCCTCCACGCACGTCCACTGGTAACTATGTTCCTTCTCTGACCACAGGCTTGAATGACTTCCCATTTGTGAGGGCTTTTGCACATAAAGGTGGACATATATGAGAATTCTGTATGAAATTTAGGAGGTTGGTAGACCCCCATTGAAAATTCCCTCTCCTACATAATTAAGTCCAAATTCTTTAACATGGTAATTATGAATCTTGATACCATGGCCCCACCTATCTTCCCAGTCTTCTACCCTGCTCCCGGCCTATCAAGTTCCCTCTTCCACACACACTATGTACTCTAGCCACACTGCACTCCTTGTTATTTTTCTAACATGACTATACTGTCCAGCTTCTGGATATTTGGATCTTGCTGCTCCTATTGACTGGGATATCCGATTCTGCCTTTGATCCTAGGTGAGCTGTGCTCTCTTTCCGCCTTACAGGCTGCCTTATTCACCCCATGGGTGAGTTCATTCAGCTCTGGGCTCTCGTACCTTCTGTTCTCTTTACTTTGAATGTTTTTGCCCTAGATCTTCAGTGACTGGCCACTTTTCATCATTTGGGTCTCAGCTTGAGTGTCACCTCCCCAAGAGACCTTCTCTTATCGCTCCATCCAAAGTATCTGTCCCTCTTCCTCCACCCTTCTCAGTTGAATTCACATCCTGTCTCATTTTCTTTACACTATTGACCATCCTCTGAAATTCTGGCTTATTTGTTCACTTATTAGCCTACACACCCCTAAAGAACAGGGACTAGGTCTCATTTGCATCATGTCCCTAGCACCTAGAACAGGACCTAACACAGAGTTGGTGCTCCATAAATATTTGCTTTATGAACATACCAATCCTCCATGCTCTGCCCAGATGCCTTAATCCTCGATGATCACCTATTTTCTTATCCTGGAAGTGAGACCCATGCCTTGTTTGTATTTAATACTAGTCCCCAACGTAGTCTGGTGAGCTGAGTGTTTTCCCCCTGATATTCAGAAATGTTCGTTTTCCATGGAAAGAACCTCAGAATGAAGTGGGATTAAAGAATGCAAAATGGGATTAAAAGTTCAAGGCAGAGAAGGTCAAGGATGATGTCGATTTGAATGGAGGTATTTTTAAAGTAGAATAGAAAAATAGCACACAATTTAATGCATATGTGGTCAAATTGTTTGATCAGTTGTGTTCGTGAACTTGATTGGCAATTCACTTAATTTTCAAGCAAATCAACTTAATGGAATTACTTTTTGTCTATAACAAACATTCCAACTGATGCTATCCACTTCTGAAAAAAAAAACAGGGATTTAAAATAGATGCAAATTGATATTATAATATGTTTCATGGCTCTGTCATTTACTACTTACTCTGTCATTTACTTGACTTTGAGCAAATCATTCAATTTCTTTCAACTTTAGTAATCTCCTGTGTAAATAAGGGTTTGGTGAAATTGTTAAATGAGTTACCTATTTAAACACCTAGTACCATGGTTGATTTGGAGTCAAATACCAAACAAATATTAGTTTCTTCTCTACCATTTCAACAGATTAGAAAACAAATACACATGCCTCCCATGGTCCTCCCCCCTGCCTTTTATATTTGGGGGTTTAGTTTTGTTTTGTGTTTTATGAGCACAGAGAAATTTGGTTTTAGCAGATCTTGTCCTGAATTGTATCACAAGTATGTCTTGGTTCCTTATCTACTCTTTCTTTCCTGTTGTTTTTCCTTTCTTTTTTATCAAATATTTATTGGGCCAGGCACAGTGGACACAGCATGATGACCAAGCAAGACAGGGTTCCTGCTTGCAGGGGTGGTCATAATCCAATGGGGACCAGTGTAATGAGAACTAGAAGAGGTACAGGAACAAATGTTTGCAGATCCAATCTAGTTCCCAAGTCTACCTAAGAAAGCCAAGGTCAACCTGAGGCCTGAAGGATAGGTAGGAGTTAGGTAAGTAAAGAGCCGGCAGAGAGCCTGAACCCATTTTGTCCCATCATTCCACATGAAGAACACCTATAAAAACTCAAACATAGTATATAATATAATTATATTATAATAATAAGATGAACATAATCACATTATAATGTAATAATTATAATATCAATATAATAATAAATATAAGCTCTACATCATGATTTGCAACCTGTGTCAATTTTATTGGAATATTCGCAGATTTGAAAACTAGGGACTTACTGGGTTAAGGGTGAAGGAAGCTCAAGGGAATGCTAGGCTGTGGGAGAAAACATGTCAGGAGCTGAAGAAATTTTAGTATGGTAGGAGCCATGAGAGACAAGCTGAGCAGATCAATCTTACAATGTCAGCAGGGCAAGACTAAGAAGCACAGCCATGCAAAGTAGAGACAGACTCCAAAGGATGCTAAGGAAGGAAGTGATATAATTAGATTTGCATTTTAGTGAGACCTTTCTGCTGCAGTTTAGCGGGTGATAGGACTAGAGGGAGGAAGAACAGTTGGGATGCGTTGCGATACTTCTCGTTTCATTTTTCCCTCTCTGGGCAGATATTTGGGTCAACTCGTGTGTTCCAGAAATTATCACCACTGATGATCCCATGTTTGACACTCAAACTGCACCATACACATCAGAGTTCACGGACAGTGACGGCATCTACTCAGAAGCATTCACAACACCTGTTCTTGCCACTACCCCTGCTCCAGCCACCACTTCTGTTCCACGGAGGAAAAAATTGATTTGCATCACAGAGCTGGTTACGGAAACTAGTTTCATGTCTACAGAAACAGAACCCTCTATTGGAGGGGAAAAAGCTTTCAAGAATGAAGCTGCTGGGTTTGGAGGTAAAAGCTTTTTGTGTCTATGTTCTGTGTTTATGTGTGCTGATGTATAACAGACAATGAATATAGAATACAGTCTGCTTCAGATTAGGCACTTTGCACCTGCTAGATAAAAATGAAAACTCAACACAAATTCAGTTTTCATAAGGGCATAGAACTTTAGAGTCGTAAAGAACCTTAATGATTAAACTACAGATCACGAGTATAAAAGAGTTTCACTGTTGGGAACTCAAGATTTATAAAAATACATTGTTATGTTATTATATGTTCAAAAATCATCACCTTAACTGCCTGTTACTTAATTAATTTCTGACCTCTCTTTGTCAGGCAGACTTGTTAGCTAGATTGGGTCACTAGAGTTCATTAGGAAATGAACTCTACCTTTTGAACTGCAATTGCGTAGAGTCGAGTCGGAGAGGCAAGGCTGAGGAATCTATAGGCAGGAAGCCAAGAGGCTGGCGAGGGTCAGAGAGAAGGCTCTTCTCCTGCACTACCTATTGTCCACATCATGTGTATCATGAGATGCGCAGTAGGCTCCGTGAAGGACCTGAAGGCCTTCTCTGTTTCCTCCAGGTGTTCCCACGGCTCTGCTGGTACTTGCTCTTCTCTTCTTTGGTGCTGCAGCTGGTCTGGCAGTTTGCTACATCAAAAGGTAAGATTGTTGGTACATTGCTGGCCTTGTCATCTTTGTCACATCCCTACCTTGTGTTTTCTGGGATTGTTATTGGCATTTTATTGGTCAAAACGGAGACGGCACTACTATAAATTTTCTCCTTCATCTGGCCTCTCTTCCCTACCAACTTGTCTTTCCTACACTTGCAGCATAGGCATGTCGTCCAGACTGTAGACACCGGTCAATGGGTGTCCCTTTGAAAATCAGGATATAAAAAGGAAAGTTTGACATCTAGGGAAAATTTATATGCTACATTTGATTTTCGGGTTCTTGTTTTTCCTGGAAGAGTTGAGAGTCCAGCCTAAAGCTGGGCCTATGGACATACCATCTGATTTAAATGACTCCGTTAAAGTGGGGGGAATTAATGTTTTGGGGGCGTGCCTTAGCATCATTCCAAAATAAAGGTATTTGGTGGACTGTGCCAATAAGCACCGTTGCCGGTGAGGTGTTGATTATTGTGATGCGGGTTACATAGAAATCTCACACTTTAATTTTACGTATGCTTGCAGGTATGTGAAGGCTTTTCCGTTTACAAACAAGAATCAACAGAAGGAAATGATTGAAACCAAATTAGTGAAGGAGGAGAAAGCTGATGATGGCAGTCCTAATGAAGAATCAAAGAAAACAAATAAAAATCCAGAGGAGCCCAAGAGTCCACCCAAAACCACAGTGCGATGCCTGGAAGCTGAAGTTTAGATGCAAAAAGAAATGAAAAGCCACACCTGAGGCTAGTTTCTTTCCTGAACCATCCCAGCTCCAGGTGGGGAATCTAAAAGGGCCAAAGAACCAAAGAAGAAAGTCCACCATTGGTTCCTAATGGGAATCAGCTCAAGGCTGCCTTTGGGCTATGATGTTCTCCAAAGGGACCCCCTCTTCTTACCGCACCCCTTTCTGGACCCTATCTTTCTACCTCCAAAACTTCCCACAACCTCTCCAGCCTGCCTGTGTCCTAGTAATATCCCACTGGGAGAAAGGAGCTTTGCAAAATACAAGGACCCAGGAGTACTCATCTGTACACATTTGTAAACTGGCTTCTGGGTTGGCAGAGACTAGGGAGTAACAGGCAGACGCGTCACTGAGACCAGGCTGGCTCCGTAGCCCAGAGCCTCTCTGCAGCTCTGAAAGGGAAACACTTATGTCACCTGACAGGTCCCTTTGAGCCAGGCACAAAAGGTTTGAGACCTAATCTCTGGGAAGCCAAAATAAATAGAGCGATAGAAGGAGGCCAGGATCCTGCCAGCACCATTGTCAGCAGGGACTGTAAACACAGAGGGCCAGGTATTCTTCCCTGAGCAAATTGATTGGAAACACTTTTTAGAACATTCTCACACTTTCTTTTCTCTCTACTATTTTCTCTACTATTCCTCTGATTTTCTCCAGAGGAATAGACTTTTATAAGGAACAACCCCCCCAAAAAAGTACAAATTTCTGTTTTTATCTGGATTAAGAAATTATTATTAAAGACAATTACTGTTAAAAAGTAATAAAATTCAACAGTTAGTTGTCAAATGTCTACTATAGGTTGATTATCCTTTATCTGAAATGCTTGGGATCAGAAGTGTTTTGTATTTTGGATTTTTTTTAGATTTTTTAATATTTGCATATACATGTTAACTATCTTGGGGATGGACTCCAAATCTGAACACAAAATTATTTTATGTTTCATATATCCCTCATACACTTAGCCTGAAGGTAATTTCATACAATATTTTTAATAATTTTGGGGGCTTGAAACAGTTTCATGATGTAGAATTTTCCAATTGCGGATGTCATGTTGACTCTCAAGAATTTCTAGATTTTTGGAGCATTTTGGATTTTGGATTTTTGGATTAGGGATGCTATATATGTATAGGTCAATGTGTACATATCAGGTGCTGTGCAAGATATTACATTCTATAACTGAATATTATTCACCAAAAAATTGCATATAGTTGAGTGCTGTCTGAAGCTAATTTTTTTCTAGTTTTGATATGCCTTCCTTGCCTACTTCCAAACTAATTGTGGGCATTGATTTGTGTTTTTTTTTTCTTTTTGTTTGTTTTTGTTTTGCTAAGACTAATCCATTCATTTTCTTTAATATGGCAACTATTATAACATTAATTTATTATTAACATACCTAACATTATTACCTCTGTATACCAAAGCACAAATTTTAAAATGTCATTAACAAACATATCACTAGCTCTTGTTTTTCTAGCAAGAGCTTTGTGAGAGGTGCAGAACTATTTGTGCCAAAAAAAAAAAAATTAAAGCATTTAGAAAATTTATTTGCTCTCTTATTTACATAGATGCATTATATCTTTCATGAAAAATTTAAATAGCACCAAATTATAATCTGTAGTTTGCAAAAGTGAAAGGACAACTTTGGTTGCTAAAATTCAGATTCATGTAAACGCAGCAGTATATAATCACCATGTGGACCGTCCTTGCTTCAGTTAGTCTCATGTTAAGTTGGTCAAGCACACATGTATTAATTAGTCTTTTACTTGCAACTCAAGTGCTACATCCCAATCCACACAGGGTTCACAGGGAGCTGGATTCAGGACAGCTCATCTGTCTTGGCTCCCCAGCTTTCCCTCTCCCACTCTCTAGACGCCTATCTCCCTCCCCTCACCAGTGACCCTGCAGCCCCAGTCCTTGCAGTCCAGAGGTTAGAACCTGGGGGTCTTCTTTTGGATTGGCCTATAATTAAACAGTTGACACTTAATTCAATTGTCAATAATTAAAAATCAGAAATCTTATGTTTATATTTCTATGTTCCCTTGGAAAAAATGGAAAGATCTAGAATAGAGAACCCATATTATCTCACTGCATAATTACCTGAGATAGAGCAATGCTGTCCCTTTTGAGGGGGCAGGCTCTCATTTCCCCCGCCCTCATCACTGAGTTGCATCCTCATGCCAAAGGAAGGGTGCCAAACCCAAGGATCCTGCGGCACTGTTGCCTTTGTCATGTCCTGCCCATGTCCCTCATTTGTATTACCCACCTGGCCCTTATGAGTTGGAATCTCTGGTTCTTCTGCTTTATCATCTTTTTTACCCAGTTCTTGGGAAGTAAAGAAGAAAAGGAAAAAAGCTTAAACACTGGCCTTCCTCTGGGTGTGTTAGCTGAAAAAACTCAGACCTTCCACACATCTCCCATCTGTGGGCATCTACTATGTATGAGGATGCTGTCGCCTACTTCTGTTCGTTTAGACAAGTGTGTGCTCTTCCCAGGAGGAGAAAGTGGAAGGAGAAAAATCCACACAGTCACATATATAGATAGCTCCTCATCACCATGGTTCCACATCCAGTCAACCAAGAGTGGATTGAAAATATTTGGGAAAAAAATTGTGCCTGTGCATTTACATTGCATTCAATATTATAAGTAATATAGAGATGATTTAAAGTATTCAGGAGGAATATGCCATTTTATGTAATGGACTTGGGCATCTGTGGATTTTGTCATCTGAGGGGGAGACTGGATTCAATCCCCTGAAAGTACCAAGGAGCAATAGTAATCACTCAGTAGCCCAAATGTCATTTGCAAACACACTAATGAAAATGTAACTCCCATCATTATGCAAGGTAGGAAAGGGAGGAAACTAGTATTTATTGAGCACTTAAAAAGTGACAGTCATTAATCTCCACACCTTCCCTGAGAGGTCAGGACTATTACTGACATTTTGTCAGTTAGAATATTGGGTTTTTAGAGGATTCAAATCACTTTTGGAGGTCACAGCTCTAGTTAAATGATAAAGGCAGGATTTGATCCAAGGGTGACTGCAAAACCCATGCTCCTTTCCCTAAACCACAAAACATTTCTTGCCAATGACATCATAGGGATGGATGGAAATTGTTCCAACATGCAAGTTTGAAATCAGTCACCTGCCAAAAACAACAGGGCAAAATAAGGAAAACAACTCAGGACTCCAGTGTCAACTCTGGAGATCCTTCCTTAAATCCATTGACAATGACGGGGAGAAAAGAAAACCCACTGAAGAACTGTGAGAAGTGCTTCCTCATCGATGCAGACACCAACCAGGGCCGACTTAGCCTGGCTAGCATGGGTAGAAGGAACTGAGACAAGCTTCTCTTACTCCTTTTTCACAGAGTAAAACATACGAAGCCTGGGCTGGGCCTGGGCTTAGTGGTAGAGTGCTTGCCTCACACTCATGAGGCACTGGGTTCCATCCTCAGCACCACATAAAAATAAATAAATAAATAAATAAAATAAAGATATTGTGTCCATCTACAACAACAACAAAAAAAATTTTTTTTTTTTTAAATACGAAGCCTAATGTAACAGATACCTGGAGGTAAAACCGAGGCTAGAAGTCTCCTTTTTCCTAGACAAGTTCTCTTTACTCTCCACTGAATAAAAAGAAATTGGAAGAGTACAAGAAATCACCCCAGTTCAAACCTACAATCCATCTCCCTGCCCAGAAATCCCTCTTCTTCAGGCCTGCCTCCTTGGTTCAAACTTAGTAGATCCATTCCTTTGACCAAAGATTCTGTTCCAAGGAATCTTCTGTAAAATTGCATGTTTTGTGTAAGGCCAGGCTGCTTTCAAATATTAACACATCATTACAGGTTCAATGAAGACAAGCTGATGCCTAATGACAGAAAACTGGAGTAAAGCCAATGATTTTAGTCCCAGCACAGTGCTGTACATAGTTGGAGTCCATAAATGTTCATGGGCTTGAACAGAATTGAATAATATCCATTTCCAGACCAAAAAAATCCTACATTTTGTTGCCTGTAGACCTTCAGTAAATGCCCAGAGCAAACCCAGTCATTCTAGGGAAGAACAGGTTTGTAAGGACAATGATAGCAACCTGTTAATAAATATATTGTTACTAAGAAACAACCACTCAAATCAAAAATAAAATGTGTTAAGCTTCTCAATTATCTGTCAATCCAATCTTCTAGTTGAAAATAAATAAAATTTAATTGTCACCACAATGGTTTATATGTGGGCTCAGTTTTAGTCAAAGAGCATTTTTTTTAACTTTTGCTTAAAATTTATTAAACATCCTTAGCTGATGTGGTAGAAATATCATAGAATAATGCAGAAAATTTGTCTCTAGAAGGATATAAATTTATTATAAATCAAAGATTACTCAATATCCTCACTTTTGAAAACTGGAGAAAACAATTCTAACACAGATTCTTCCATCAGATTTGTTCCTGAGGGTTGTTTTCTTTTTCTTTCTTTCTTTTTGTTCAAAGAGCATTTTAACAATATTATAATGCAAAATCTACCAGAGATAGACACTGGTTTCAGTGGTAGGGATGTGTTGATATTCTTATGTTGCCATCTTCTTGACATAGTGTTGTAAGCCAGCCACGGGCTATGTGTGTGAACTACGCACATTTGGGTGGAAAGTCTGAGTTTTTTCAGCTAACACACCCAGAGGAAGGCCAGTATTTAAGCTTTCTCCTTTTTCTTCTTTACTCCCCAAGAACTGGGTAAAGCTGATAAAGCAGAAGAACCACAGATTCCAACTCATAAGGGCCAGGTGGGTAGTACAAATGAGGGACATGGACAGGACTTGACGGAGGCAACCGTGGGAGTACTCTTCCCTCTGTATGTACCCCAGGAAATGCCCCAAATTTCAAATAGTACTAATGTGATTGAAGATGTCCTTCTTCAGTATCTAGAATAACATTTACTTTAAAAAAAAAAACTTTTCACTTCAAAATAGTTTTAAATGTACGAAACAAAAATTGTAAAAATAATATAGAATTCCCATATATCCACACCCACTTTCCCCAATGATTAACATCTATGTTAATATGGTACCCTGTCAGAATCATGAACCAACACTGACATATTATTATTAACCAACATCCATTCTTTATTCTGATTTCCTTAGTTTTTATCTAATAGTCTTGCGCTGTTCAGATTTTCCTTGTTCTTGATAACTTGGCCGGTTTTGAGGTGTACTGGTTAAGTATTGTGCAGAATGTCCCTCAAATGAAACTTCTCTGACGTCATCTCATAAGCACACTGGGGTTAGAGGTTTGGGGAAGAAAGACCACAGAGGTAAGGTGCCATTTTCATCCCTTCATATCAAGGGTATGTAATATTAGTATGACGACCACTATGTGATGTTAACCTTGAGTACCAGGTTTCTTCCCTATAGAGTGTTTTTCCTTCCTGTAGTGTATTCTTTGGAAAAAAGACCCTATGCACAGCCCCCACTTGGGTAGTAGGGAGTGCCCTGCCTCCTTGAGGATGCAAAATCTACATAAATTATTTGGAATTATCTTGCACAGTAGAGTCACCTATTCTCCCTCATTAATTTATTTATTCAATCATTTATTTGCATCAGTACAGACTCGAGAAAATCTCTTTTCCACTTTAGGCTATAACTCAATACCATTTTATTTATTTTGTTGTTCAGTGTGTTCCAGCATCAATCACTGGGA